GGTTCACGATTATGATACTTTTTAACGGCGGAGCACGAGTTACCGACACCATACACAGCTGCGCCTTAAGTAAAACAAAGAGAGCGCGTGCCGGTTCACGATTATGATACTTTTTAACGGCGGAGCACGAGTTACCGATGCCTTACACAGCTGCGCCTTAACGAAAATGAAGAGAGCGCGTGCCGTTCACGATTATGATACTCTTTAACGGCGGAGCACGAGTTACTGACACCATACACAGCTGCGCCTTAAGTAAAACGAAGAGAGCGCGTGCCGGTTCACGATTATGATACTTTTTAACGGCGGAGCACGAGTCACCGATGCCTTACACAGCTGCGCCTTAAGGAAAATGAAGAGAGCGCGTGCCGGTTCACGATTATGATACTTTTTAACGGCGGAGCACGAGTTACCGACACCATACACAGCTGCGCCTTAAGTAAAACAAAGAGAGCGCGTGCCGGTTCACGATTATGATACTTTTTAACGGCGGAGCACGAGTTACCGACACCATACTAGCTGCGCCTTAAGGGAAATGAAGAGAGCGCGTGCCGGTTCATGATTATGATACTTTTTAGCGGTAGAGCACGAGTTACCAATGCCTTACACAGCCGCGCCTTAAGGAAAATGTAGAGAGTGCGTGCCGGTTCACGATTATGATTCTTTTTAACGGCGGAGCATGAGTTACCGACACCATACACAGCTGCGCCTTAAGGAAAATGAATAGAGCGCGTACCGGTTCACGATTATGATACTTTTTAATGGTGGAGCACGAGTTACCGATGCCTTACACAGCTGCGCCTTAAGGAAAATGAAGAGAGCGCGTGCCGGTTCTCGATTATGATACTTTTTAACTGCGGAGCACGAGTTACCGACGCCATACACAGCTGCGCCTTAAGGAAAATGAAGAGAGCGCGTGCCGGTTCCCGATTATGGTACTTTTTAACGGTGGAGCACGAGTTACCGATGCCTTACACAGCTGCGCCTTAAGGAAAATGAAGTGAGCGCCAGCTGGTTCACGATGATGATGTTTTTTAACGGCGGAGCACGAGTACCGACGCCTTACACAGCTGCGCTGTTAAAGTCTCTCGCTACCTGCGCACGTTGCTGATGGCAGTGGTGACACATAACAATGAAATGAATGAACACTTTCAGGTGAAGGGACGGTGGTGTCTATAGCAGTTATGGCGACTATACCTACCGCGGTCGCTTTGTGAAAGAAGTCACAGGATGAGGAAAAAGGGCTTTTACATTGTCCTTATGTGTCAAGTGCTGAATTTTGGTATTAACCAAGAAAATTAAATTTTATTGATGTAACAAACATTCGTTTATTGTTTCATAATAATTTCTATAATTCGGTTAATTGACACATTTTCCCGGTCCCGTGAAGCCCGAATTAACAAGTGTTTATGGTACGTATATGCAAGGGGAAAACATGAAGTGCCTCGTCAAGCACTGGTCTCGAAAACACGGCTTCGGGTACAAAAACTCACGTGACCTCTCAAGTTAATGGCGAAAGCTAATGACCGAATGTTCATTAGTGGAAGCAAATTCAGCGACAGTTAATTAGTATAAGTTGGATGCCTATATGAAGTGCGTGGATATCGCCTGATCAAATGACTTAACTTCAGTCTCCGGGTCACCGTAGTCGAATGCAAATGAGATCCTGTGATTTTTTTCTGGTGTCTCCAGATCAGAGGAACAGTAACAGCTGGTAAGAATTACTTCATCAGTTGACCACATGCAGTACGATGTCACTGTTGATTGATATGTGGGTTTAACGTCCCAAAACCACTATATGCTTATGAGAGACGCCGTAGTGGAGGGCTCCGGAAATTTGGACCACCTGGGGGTTCTTTAACGTGCACCCAAATCTGAGCACACGGGCCTACAACATTTCCGCCACCATCGGAAATGCAGCCGCCGCAGCCGGGATTTGAACCCGTGACCTGCGGGTCAGCAGCCGAGTACCTTAGCCACTAGACCACCACGGCGGGGCACGATGTCACTGTACGAGGATATGAATTTTAGAGAAGGGTTCAACACATCTGGACATCTCCCTTCCACCCTCGCATATTCATGATCTGGTTACATGGGCCCAAGCTTCAACCATTGATGTAACACGGTAAATTGATCAGCTACGTAAACTGTACCTGTCTTCTCGGCAGCTGTATTTAACGACGTGGCATCCACTTTAGAATTGGGTGTGATTGGGCTCGCAGGGTTTGCGTTGTGCGGGTATGCGAGCGCACTCAAGAGGTTATCGTATGACGTATGTGCGATGACAAAGAACGCTAACCTAATCCTTTACGTTGTCATGACTGCTCATGCGCCATACGCTATCGCCTCCGCTACGCACGTTAATTACAAAAAATAGCGTATAGTTCCAAAACAACGCTAACGTTACGAATCTTACTCTAAAACTGCTTATTGTACTTGCCCAAGTGAAAATTTACAACTGGAAATGCAACTTGTCCCGACTGGTCTCAGTTCAAATGGCTTATGGAACGATTCCCAGCTGCGACCAATTGGTTCCCACTGCGACCAGATCCAGACTGTATCCCCCTATTTCAACCAGTGCCAGTTTTCCCCATTGCAACATGTCCGAGCTCGATGGGTGGGGGAGTGATTTTTATAAGAGGAAAATTGAATAAAAAAGTGAACCTGCAACTAGTCTGCCGAAGAGTGCTACACCTCAGCTACAGTTCACAAGGGAAGGGATAATGGGGGATTTTGAGAGATAGTGAGAGAAGATTGAGAGCAAGGAAAAGATTGGCCACTGGTGGGGCCCCGATAAGCGAGTAGTCATCCAACAGATAGGACGTCGCGGACGGGACAACCTTCATCCATGAAATCAACCGATCATCTATTCCAGCTCGTCGTTGTAGACGTACCTGTATCATCCTACTGAACTATATATTGGTGTTTTGTATTAGCTTATTGCAGGGGCATAGCCAGGGGGCGGCACACCGGGCCGACGGCCCCGCCCCCATTTTTTACAGTGAAAGCTGTTATGAGGCCACAACTCGGGTCACGCGCCGCCGTAGTTGTCCGCCGCCACCGCCGGTGTCCGCAACCACATCGCACGAAAGTAGAAAAAAATTCTAGTACCAATGACCCCAGGTCCACTGGGTGCCAGCCCATTACTCTACCACTCAGGCACACCGGTGCTTGGGACCTGTTGTCAAACTTGCCTTAGGCAGGCTTGATGTTGGCAGAGCAATCACGTTACGACTCATAAAGCGTTTTAAAACAGCGGAACAACAACCAATCGTCGCACAGTGTGAATAGCGTAACGAGTGCGTCATCCAACCCATTAAAAAGTTTGTTCTTGTTCACCTATTAACTGTGGCGCATCCCCGCTTCAAGCGTAATTCCTCATCGTTGTCAGCCATTGTATGAACAATTGGCACAAAATTCTTTGCAAGTGTTTAGCGGATACCACGCTTCTCAGAAGAATGACGAAAAATAGCATAGCGAATGCCAGCCTACTACCTAAAACTTTTTAATATTAATGCCATAGTGGGCATCAAGCAAGTGTGCTTGCCTCAGTTACCCAATGAGTGTTTAGAAGGCTCTGACAAGCCGCTTTTCTAGCTTTCACTGTGACTGTGCTGCTCCTTCCGCATAGGCCTGGCGTTGTTTTTTTTTTTCGCCTTGGCATAGAGCAAAAAATGGTGATTTCAATGGGGTTCTACCCCTCCCAAAATCAAGGAGGCACCCTCCCCCCCCCCCCCCCAAAAAAAAATTTCTGCATGCCTACGCCGCCTACTGCCAAGGTATTCGTTGTTTATTTATTTATTGGTAAAGTATTTTGTATTCGCATACTTGTAAGCCACTATACCTTATTAGAATTATACGTGTAACTGTTTCATGTGTGTCCCGTCGTCACGCAGAAAGCCCACAATGTAGCATCGACCCTGCAATAATCACAGCCGAGGAAACAATTCTTCATATGTGAGCGCGCACAGGAAATGCTCCGAAGCACCTCTCGCGCCCTACTCTGCTGTCACCGATAACGTTGTAGCGTCGATAACACTGTGTTAAATTTTAAGCATAGAGAAGAGACCCAAGGACCTGCACCCCTCCCCCCCTGTCTAACTTCTCAATCAAAACAATTTGTGTAGGCAAGGTGTGTGTGCACTCGTTCATTGATCCCATGCATGTAGCCTATTGTACAACACGCGTTACACTTACATAATTCACGGGCTATATTATTGAATGGTGTGCAAAAGTCTATATGATCGTCACATTCATGGACTGGCATGAATAGGGAGCCTTCGACAGTGACGCAGCAAGAATTTTTTTTTTTTTTTTTTTTTTTTTGTGGAGAAGGGGACCTCCTTCGTGGATAGTGGCCTCTGAAAATAGGAGTTGATTTTAGAAGTGTACTTACTCTCCGTAGTAAGCTGACAGCCGATGTTTTCAAATGAAAAAATCATGACAGGGGTGTGTCTGAAAAAAAAAAAAAGTGGGACGCTGCAGAGTGCGTCCAATCGGTAGAAAAACAAGAACTTGCGCAAGTGAATCTCTTACAAAACCGACACCTGTAGTTGAGTCTATCCTGTCAAACGTGTACAGGCCGTTAGAGCGATAATATATTTGCACATTCGATTTGTCGAACATCTGAACAAACCGGCCCGCAGCGGATTCTTCGCCTCGTAGCAGACAACAAACGCAATGCCGCTCCCACAATATCACTTAGTTTCGGTTTTGGTTCAATTGCTTCTTTATAAACAGTATAAGATTTTTGTATTACTTTTATAGCAATATTTATGTGTATAACAGTTTTTATTAACACGTTAAAGGTTTTTAATTTGTACTGGTGCTAGTAAAGCGCCAGTTTAATTGTTAATGTAGATTTCTAATTGGAACGTTAACAGGTGCTTAGGACGTTTATGGGTTGCTGGTTAGCGTTTCGGCATTATTGTAACGACAAAAGCACGTTTGGGCTGAAGTTATAAAAGCTAACGAGATATTTATTATATCACGAGCTTCATCGACGCCCAACATTTTAGCCTCATGGCGCTGTCGCGGGATTTGCGCTCCTGTTTATGTGTTCGCTGAATGCGCCGAACACCTGACTGAAGATAAACTCGGCACCGAGCAGGCTGTGTGGCTCAGGGAGCAGAGGGCGTGACATATCCCATATCCAGCCTGTCGGCGTACGAGTCTGCCCGAGCGATGCGTTTGTTACGGTCGAGTGTAGTCTTGCGTAGCTCGAGCATTGGTGCGGAAAACGAGAGTGGACGCGCTATCATCGACACGGTTTCACCGTGACAGTCCGGCTGTGACAGACGAGCAGAAAAAGCTTGTGGAAGTGTTCTCATGGGGTCGGCTGTAAGTACTGTCATCTTTTGCGCATATGGAGTGTTTTTTTGTGGCTCAGTGTGGCAAGTCCGGAAGAAAAATTGCGCTCGTTGGTCGTGCAGCCAGGGTGTCGAATGGTCCTATTTTCAAAAAAAGAAACGAGACCCTGGGCAAAGCTCTACGTCGGTATCTGACGGTGCGTTCTGTCGTCAGCACGCGACGTGTGGGCGAGCTTCTTAATGCACCATGGCCTTGTTTTTTGTTGCTTTTCTCTGGCCGGATCGATAGCCGCGCACATCCGAAATGATGCGTGTGTGTGCACGAGTTCAGAACGAACGTGACGGAGTAGCTTTCGCTTTCCGATGTATCGTGACTGTCTGACGACCGTATTGCCGGGTCCTTATCATTGTAAGTGCAAGCCTTGAGTTCAGAACTGAAGCGTACGCTACTGGCGTATTTCTTTTTGTTATTTATTCCTCCAGCACCGGTTAAAGGTTTCGTAACGTACGTAAACCTGGGTGAGCCCAGAGTGCACGCGTGGTCTTGTTCTTCCCGGTGGCTCGTCATCGTCCCCAGCAGATAAGATCGAATATATTGTAGCTTCTCATATCTGTAATGTAGCCACGGAGTTGATTTGGAAAAGCCAGATGACCGGCGTTATGACTCTTGTTAATGGAGAGGGTAATTATCATTAAATAGCACAAAAATTCAAACATGGCCAGGTTTCATCTTGCTTACATCTTTGTCTTTTCATGTGATTGATACCTATAAGAGAGTGCAGCTACACAACACATGTTGTATGTAGTATACCCCACATGTTTATGTGATTAGTTTAACCATTGTGTGGGCAAGCAAGTTCATTAATGAACTGCTACATAACACATGGTAAGTTTATTTGAACTTAAGGTGCAATGTTTGTGGTTCGATGTTATGCATCAGTCTGGTTAATTTTTATGCATGTAATTAGTTTGGCTTCTATTTACCTAAATATGTACTGTCGGCCACTAAATATGGACCACAGCAGCACATGGTGAATTTGCCGTCTTCTATTGAGGGCACAGCACTGGCTGTGCTGTCGCCAGAGGATGGCCCTAGCAACGTTCTCGACAGCAGATCGCTGGTAACTAGAGGACGCATACAGCATGTCGCCATGCATTTCCGTGGTCTGTATATTTTGTGGTTAACTGTACATCTATAGAGTGAATACATTTAATATTGGGTTGCCGTTTCAGTGAATTGCCCACATTTAGGTAAATATCACCAATCTATTTGGGGTCCTCAGTCTCTTTTGCATTTCTGTGTTGCCTATACTTAACCACTTCTGGCTGTTGCAACATCATTACATACTTTCTCTTGGCTCTGCAGCCTATAACATATAATGGAATCCATAATAGAGCAGAAGTAACTGACCATGCCAAAATCGCAATCCGATTACAAAAGATATGCTGTATGCAGCTAAACTCTCTAGATTTTGATCACCGGGGCTTAATGTGCTCTTACATCTAAATAAGCTTCGTTTTTTATTTTGCCACATTAAAACAGCTGCTTCTGTCAACCTCAAAATGAGCAAAGGCTAAAATGTTAAGTTGTGTATTCATCCAAAAAAAGCCATGTCTGTGCATTACTGCTTCTCGCTTAAACTTATAAAGAAAAGACCATAGCAATATCTGCAGAAAGCACAATGTGGGCAGCACTTTCCAAGAAGTTTATGTTGCTGCTTTTGTTCAGGTGTGCAATTTGTAGTTACCTTTGCTATACCAGTTGTTCTACTCACTGTCAGAAAATGCAAGACTGTTTACCTTCAATGTAAAAGGATGTATGTACAGTGACAATGTATACATAGGACATTCTTTCGTACTTGGTGCTTTCTTAGTTGTTGATTTTTACAGCAAAGACCAAAAATGCATTATATACCTACGGTTCCAAAGGTTCTGAAACTTTTGAATGTTACTGCATCTAGAGCAGTAGAGAAGATCCTCAGTTCATGAGAGGTTGAAGACCCACATAGTCAAAATCAATTGAATGCCTCCAGCTGTGGTACCACCACTTACTGCCAGGTTGTGGCTACAGGATGTAAAAACATAGTAATAGAGAAAAAAAAAGTCTAATGGGGGTTCAGGGTTTAGTCATGGTCGTATTTAACAGTGAAAATGCTGTTGTTTTTTTAACTCCGCTCTAATGAAGGAACTGATAAGTACAGTAATATTATATCTGTAAATACAAAGAACATTACTGCATGTTACGTGCTCATTGTTGTCTTCTCTTGAATAAGATTTCAAATAATGAGCACTAAATATGTTGTCAAAATATGTCCTTAATAAAATCTAGGAATGTGGTTTTACATCCTATTACCTGTTAACTGAGAAATCTGAAAGTGTTCCAGTGAAGCCTTGGCACTGTACTACAAGCACCTTAGTCAACATATGTCAAAGCCACTAAGCATGTATGGCATATAGGGGGAAACGATATGCGACTACTAGTTAGCTGGTCACTGCATGAAGCTTGCACATAGTCACTGCATACAGGTCATATGCTTATGTAGAGCAATATGGTTGCTTCTTTATCCAAGACAGGATCTCTCATTTTTGGGCTGTTACATACCATGCTGTATGTTTATAAACCTGCTTGCAATAATGTGTCATTAATAAAAGAGCCTTTCTTTTAATTTCTTCTCGTACTTTTGATGCATTGTTGGTAGTTAATTATCAAATTTTATATGTGAATTTTTCTGCCATTTTGATAAATTGATTTGTTCTGAATTGGAATTATATATCTTAGTTGTAGTTATTTGTGTTTGTTTAGAAGGTTTTCTCTTGTGGAGCTGCTTAATGTTTCAGTTTCTACTTTTCTTTTTCTTTCCGATTGTGCTGGTAAGTTGGGCTTGGGGAATTGTTGCATCACTCTAAAGCAATACAGCACTTCCTCAAGGATGAAAATTAACTCTGGAAGTAGTTGAAATACGTTTTTAAGCATTGTTCATATGTTTGTATAGGTACTTGCTCTAAATGGCGAGCCAAGAGGTGCTTGATCAAGTTAGGCAGGACTTCATTTAGTGGGAGTTTTGAGGGAGGCTGGGCACCTTCACCAATATTTAAAGGGACACTAAAGAGAAGCAGTGACTTGGTTTAAATTGACAAATTTCACTTTCAAAACTTTGATGCAAATGTTTTGCTATCATAAGTTTGTTATTAGTTGAGATCATCAAGGTTAAAATATAATTTTTATATTTCTCACTGAAATCTCCGCGTGCGTGTGACGTCGAAACTTTCAAAATGTATTTTTCGTATTTTCGCATCATTCGCTACACGAAATTTTCTGAAACTTCGTATACTAGCACCTAAACTTTATTGATTTGAAGGCACGTGGGACTCGATAGACGTTTTTAACATGTATGACGTCAAGGTGTTTGGTGCAGGAATCTCAGGTTAGCGTCTCTACTCGCATTTTCTTTTCACGCAGTTTCTCGCTCGCCAAGTGTCGCGTCCCGAGAAGGGTGTTTTCTTTCGGATTGCAAAATTCTGCTTTACTAGTATGCAAAAAATCATTTTGCTCGTTAGAGTTTGTGTAAAACGGTGCCCAGCTTCTTCTTGCCAGGGAATGTGTGTGTGTGTGTGTGTGCCCGTACATGTGTGCGTATAGGAGGGGCGGTGTTAGTGCACCCATGGAGGGAGCTTGTTTTTCTTGAGCTAAGGCAGATGTTAATCTGATGCTTTTACCTTTTAAGTCGGAGTATTCTGTGTTAACAAAAACACTGAAAATTGGCGTTGGAAGGTCTGAGGAGCGGGAGATCACCGAAAGTGAACCTTAGTTTGAGCTTAATCTGAGTGGTGTGGAATATTTGCTTGTAACATCACTCACTTTAGTGTAATAGTACAACACTTCATCAGGTAGGCTGTGTCTTGCTTATGCTTTTTTCTTTTTTGTTGTTGCAATTGTTTACTGCAGGCTGATTCGTCTCTAATCATTATATTTATTCATGATTTTTAATTATTGTACAAAAGGTACTCTGACTTTTAATTAAAATAGAGGTTACAAAAATACTTTTTATTGTTATTTGATATCAATAAAATGTTGTTTTGATAATTATTTTTCTTCATAATTAAAGGCTGGATTTCTATGTACCAAAAGCATACATAAGCATTCTAGGGGCCCTGCAACACTTTTTGAGCATGTTCAGAAAACGCTGCGGATCGATAGTAGAGGCTCCCGACAACACCCCAGCCAAATGTTAGTGCAGCACGTCGTCTAGAATTCACAATAAATTATCAGTCAGCTAAAAATTGCTTTCTCTTTCCTCGACAAATGACGGAAGACGCTCAAAAATCACACATAGATTACCCATCTACCAGCCATTGGCCGATTTGAACATGGCACGCTCAGTTGTTATGATTGCCGCAAGAGGCCGTCACATGTCCACGCATGCGCGCGCAATCACACTGAAAAAAAAAAAACGCGTATTCGAAGAAAAAAATGTGCTCAAAGTCCCCAGTCACACGTGATGCTTTTTTGTTTTCCCCTCCCATCCCTTCCTGCTTACTTTCGAGCGCTTTCGTCGGGACACGAAAAGAGATAATGCGATTGCAGCTTGTAACAAATCTTTGTAACTTCGCTCGTACTGGATGGATTCTTAAAATTTTTCCGCCGTTGAATTTGTGAGGCTTTTCCTCACAAATACGCTTTTCCAGTGAATTAATTCCATGGTTACTTAAAAAAGTGTTTCAGGGCCTCTTTAAGTTCATTATGCTGCAAAATCGTAGTTCGAGCTAGTCGTGGTTGTTTATATGCATTTACTTGTTTAAACTAAAGCTTTGTTAGAAGTTAGTGGTAATGTGACCTATGACCTTATTTAACTTGCTTCATCATTATTTTTTTTTGCTGCACTTCACTCACTTGTACAGCTTATAAATGAGCACTTTTTGGTAAAAATTTGGTACATGCCTGGACCAAAACTGAATGGAATGCCAATTTCTATAATTTGAAGCATCACATTAACAAGCCATTCATGACCTCTGCTATAGGAATACCTTTGGAGTGGAGTGGTTGTCATGCTTCACTGAACCATGTTTGTTGCAAACTGTGAAGTATAACATAGCAAGAAGTTTGTGCTCAATACCTGTACACATGATGCTATATCTGGTGCCTTCTTTTTTTCACCAACTGAATACTACTCTTTTCGTAAGACACTATCAGAAAGCTAATAAATTCCTTTTTGCTTTGCTTCCTGGGGTCGGTGCTGTTTAATGTCCGAAATAGCCAGGATGGGATGTAAAGAATGGAATATAAGGAGCAACTGAAATAGTTCATTAAAAGTTATACAAGAATTATTAGAATGAGAAGATAGTTGTAGGAAATGAAAAGAAGCATGAAAACAATGTAGATCACAAAATACAATATGTACAGGCCTTCTATATCGAAGAGTAATGAATGGGCCATAAAAACCTTTTGCGTGGCATTTAATGGCAACATTTCAGCTCTACTTTTGAACTAGGCTCTGCAAAAAGGCTTGTTAAAACTTCAAGAATAGCCTGGTGAATTCAGTTAAGGACTTCATCTAGCAGCAATCAATGCTATTAAGTGCCAGTGGTTTAATGAAAGGTGTAAATATGCTCAAGAACCTGGGTTCAGTTCCCAGCCATGGTGACTGTATGTGGTGGGGAGGAATGGACACTTAATTATAGGCACATATTGAAGAATTTCAGATGGTAAAAAAGAATAATAATATCTGGGGTTTTACGTCTCAAAACAATATAACTATGAGAGTCTCCATAGTGGAGGGTTCCAGAAATTTAAACCATCTGGTGTTCTTTAGCGTACACTGACATCACATGGTACACGTTCCTCTACCATTTTTCCGCTATTGAAATGTGACTGCCATGGCCGGAATTGAACCCACAATCTTTGCGTTGGCAGCAGAGCACCCTAGCCACTGTTCCACTGCATAGGACAAGATGGTAAAAACAATCTGTGCCCTCATTATATTGTGGTTTTGGCTCATAACATCCTTGTTGCGAACTGGCCCCTACCATGGCTCTTCTAACATAATATCTCAATTTTTTTTATTAGTAAAGTATGGTAAATTTGGATAAACTATGTGTAACTACACGCACTATTTGAAGGCATTCAGGCTACTGAAATTTCGAAAATGACTTCCTTTTTAGGTGCAACCATTTAACCCGAGGTTATCCATATAGACTACATAAACAGACATGGAATATTAATTGAAAATTTTCATTACCAGTTATACTAGATTTGGTCAGGACATAGCTGTATAGACCACTAAGATTATATTAGTGGTATTAGTATTTGTGCAGAGGCGGTGTCGTACCCAATGAAGTGATAACTGAGGGGCGACTATTGCTAGTTTTTGAAGATTATATTTTGCAAGGAATAAACCTCTTGCACGACAAGTTTCGTTGCACCACTGCTGCAGCAAGAGATGCCCATTGTGGGCTGAAAGCCATTTCTTGTTTTAGGTATGCTGCATTAAAAGTTTTTTGGGTGCACGTTAAAGAACCCCAGGTGGTCTAAATTTCCGGAGCCCTCCACTACGGCGTCTCTCATAATCATATAGTGGTTTTGGGACGTTAAACCCCATATATCAATCAATCAATGCATTAAAAGTTTTTGTTCCATGTTTGCCACTTGGCGTTTGATTCTTGAGATAAAGGGACAGCAATAACAGCTTTAAAAGTTTGGTTGAGTAATGCAATGGAAAAAATTATAATCCTGCCCCATTTTGCCTTCCGCTCACTGTTTTGGTCTACTGTAAATGCAGTGGAAAAATGGCAAGACCATTTGACATCATGGTGCCGCCAGGGCAAGTTTGCATACCTGCTATGGTGGCCTTGTAGTAGTGCTGCTGAACACACACTTTTGTGGCTTAAATACCTGAGCCACAGCAGCCGCATTCTCGTGGGCACATACAGCAAAAATTTGGAGGGTGCTCATTTGAAGAGTGAAAAGCAATTGTTCTCATCACCTGTATCGCTTGTGAACTATACTATGAGGAAAGGAACATCTGTACACGCCCCCTTTGATGTTGTAACCTTTCTTCGTAGCCCCGCCGCAGGAGTCTAGTGGCTAAAGTACTCGGCTGATGACCCGAAGGTCACGAGATCGAATCCAGGCTGCAGCGGCTGCATTTTTGGTGGAGGCGAAAATGCTGTGGGCCTGTGTGCTCGGATTTGGGTGCACGTTAAAGAACCCCTAGTGGTTGAAATTTTCGGAGCGCTCTACTATGGTGGCTCTCATGATCATATGGTGGTTTCGGGATGTTGAACCCCACGTAACAATCAACCTTTCTTCGTATGCCTACTATAAAAGCAAGTTTGTCATGTACCTACTAGGTCGCAATTCATTTTGTGAAGTAGCAAAGTGTCCATTAGATATCTATTAAGTAATACATTCATTCACCTACCTAGCTATGCACTTTGTTGATGCTGTGGCCATTCACTCATTCCGCAATCGACACGGTATAATGCCTGGTGGGATTCTGTGGTTCTTCCATGCAGTATGTCTCTCTCTCTCTGACTCCTCATCTGACATGGTGATTGTATAGGGTCCTTTTCCAAAGCATTTACAAGGACTTGCATGGCTCTGTGGTAGCATGTTTGACAGTCATGCAAAATGCTTGGGTTCAATTTCAGCATGAATACTGATTTTAATTCATACCATCCATTGTAACTTTTGGCTCATGAAAAATAGCACCAGCACTGCATTTTCTGCTACACTGACGTTCATATGCTATCACATTAAAATTCTTGTTACTATGCCTTCATTGCATGATAAAGAACCTCAGGTGGGCAGAGTTAATCCTGAGCTTTTCATTAAAGCAACCCTCTCAACTCAATGTGCAGTTGTTGAAACACACAGTTTTTTTTTTTTTGAGCAGGTGTGCATTTCCTCCAAGTGGAGGACTCCATCTATTGTGACGAGTTCTTTGTGGTCATTCATCATTAGCTGTCAGAAAATTATTTATCAGTTATGGTACATGTAGGCAGAACTGTACTCTTGCTCTACTCTATAAAGTTATTTTTTGTTGCTCTTTCAGTATTTTATTGATATTGGCAGCAATAGCTTGTCACTTTTTCTACCTTGCAGAAATAACTGCAGTTGTACATTTCCTTGGTACTTCTGGCTTCTTCAAAATCTAGGCTTGGCTCCTTGGGAGTTATAAGTGTCCAGTTGAGCCCACCCCCATTTCTAGGGGTAGTGAATCGGATAAGGAAACAATGTAATTCAAAAAGAAGGGGGACTGTGGCCAGAATAAGTAGGGCTTCTTTTCACTAGCATTTAAGTTATTGTAGCATAAGTACAAACCTGGCTTTACAGCTTAATAGGTGTTCATTTTTATTCATTCAGGGCTTCATATTTACAGGGGAATACCGTACTTATATAGTGGCACGAGTTTCATTCTATTGAACTTAGTTGTCTAGGATAAGCTAAAAGTATAGGTAGTGAAAGTCATTTGCTCTATTTTATATACTAAGGCTGTTGTCACTAGAAGCTTGCAATTAATGGTAGCTTTTGTGTAATAGAATAGCACGAAATGTAATTCAGGTTCTCTCAAAATACAGATGGTCCGATACCTCAGTGCTTACTGTTGCACACTTGTAGTCTTGTAATAGGTACTTAATGGCCAGGAGTGTAAAACAGTCCTCACTGTTCATGCTACTGCTTTGAGATTAGAGAATACATTATTTACTAGCATTTTACAGCTGTTTTCTTTTTACAGTAATAAGCATGACTTCTAGGCAGCAGCTACCTATGTGCTTTAAGAGCCACTATCATTCTTCTTGTCTGCCTGTAAAAATCATGACTCATTAGGACTGCCACCACTTTTGCATTGCAAACTAAGTGTGAAAACACTGAGGTGCGATTCTGTTTTCTAGAGTGTGTCGATAGTGAAAGAAGCCTGTGCTGTCATATCTGACAAGACAAAAGCATGATATCATTTTGAAGTCATTCCACAGGCAGCATCTAGTAAAGGCATTTATTGACGTTATGAAAGCCATGCCAAGCCGCTCATATCACTTGCACTTATGTGTTGCAGAGGCATGTCATAATGTCACAGAAAAAGATTAGCAGTCACCTATAATTTGCCATCATATTTTTAACTAGTCATTTAATCTGTGTTTTTGCCCCTAGTTGTAATAATATAAACCATATTCCTCTATGCTGCTGCTGTTACTTGGATTGTCCACTTGATACAAATTATAAGAGCAAAATAAAATTATTTGTAGCATCCATTAACCATGCAAGTTCTGGGTGTTCTGCCTTCAAAACATTGTCATGTTCAGAGATTGTTGACTTTGCTAATTAAGATTGTCCACCGCGGTGGTGTAGCAGTTACGGTGCTTGGCTGCTGATATCTAGGCAGCAGTTTCAATCCCTGCTGCAGCAGTCTCATTTCGATGCAGGGAAATACTAGAAGTCTGTGTATTCTGAGATGTCAGTACACATTCATGAGTGTCAGATGGTTGAAATTTCCAGAGCCACCCACAGTGGAATTCCTCATAATCATACCTTGATTATAAGATGTTAAACCCTAGATATTAGTGTTGATATTAGCCTTGATTTAGGTTCTACTCCTTTTGAAATAACTTGTTTCAAGATTATCCAGTTCATAACAGGTATCCTCTGTAACTTAGAATAATTATGTTATTGTAAGCTTGATGTTTACAACCTTTGTAAAAAATAATAAATTTTGATTTTCGGCACAAAAAGCAGATGTGACATGAAAACATGACCCTGTTGTTTCTAGTTACAGCACTTTGAGCGAATAGCCTAAGCTCCAGTTTTGTTCTGGTATATTAGCGATACAGATATGAAATTTGCAGTGATTCATTCTGCTAGCTGCTTGTAGCAACTGGTGATCTCAAGTAGCATGGCATGAGCCCTGCAAATAAATGCTATTCCCAGATGTACGAGAGCATTTCCCTATTTTATGGGTGGTTTAAAGTGCTACATTTTGACAGTTTATTTTGTTCGTTTATTTTTTTTACAGCACTGGCCACACTGTGATGTTGTCCACAAAAGTTGGCAAAGCAGAATGTGCCTGTTAAGCTGAAGAAAGTTGCAAGGTCTTTCATTATCCTTCAAAACACATCATTTCATCGTTTGTTGCCACAAGAAGCATCAAGATGGTCAGAGCAGTTGTTTGCCAAGTGCTGTTTAGAGTTGCACTTCCTATTGTTTTGTTGCTAGGTATGTGGGACAAGTTTCTCTACTTTGTGTTTTAAGAATGTATGTTGGCATAGTTCAGTGAAAAAAAGCTTTACATAACATTTTTTAAACTAAATACTTATAAGTAAAATTTTTATATACTAAATGCACAATTCTCTTTTAATTAATCTACAGTTAAATTATATATAAATCAGCTAGCGACACTAAAGAATACAACTTATTTAGTAGAAGAGGTTTTTCCTCAATTAATGTACTATAGTAATGTATGAGAAATTCATAATAATGAATAGAGGATAAGCAGATAACTGCCACCAAGCTTGGATGCAGTCTCTGAAATGGTTTGATGAGCTCGATTTATTGCCACAGCAAAGCAAAAAGAGCTGTGACCTGAATGAGTGGGGTTTCTTTCGCCGATACTGATGCAGTGGGTTAACACGAGTGCAGCTCTGAACTTCAAGATGTAGGGTTAAAAGCTGTGTCAGCATGCACTGTTCTTATGCAGGTGATGCTTGTTTTGAAGATGTATATATTTGCAAAGCTTTTTTTTCTCCACTGGTCCAGTATTAGAAGCAAGCATAAGTTGTGGAAGGCAGGGGATGTATTCTAAAACTGGGCTAATTGTGCTAAAAGACATTTGAATGTCCATCAAGCTTTCGTAAAGTTTTATTTAGAATGTGCGCCAGAATAGTTGGAATCATGTGCTTATACAATACTTGTACCATGCCAAAATGTTTTAGTGAGCTGCGTTACTCTAAACTTGTGGTTTTCACCAAGAAGTGGTTTTAAATGTTACTTTACAGGTAATATGGTGTTTGCTGAGTAGGAAACTGAATTATTAAAGTGGCACATTGTGCTTTATTGCTGAAACCTGTTATTTATGGAAATTATGTTTTAGCCTTCAGGAATGTTGCAGTAATTATACATAAGATAGCCTTCAAACAACTGCAATTCACAACTGCAAGTTCACCATTTTGCACTTCAAGGTGGATCACTGTTCAGCTTCAGAATATAGTTGTAGAAAGCAGGCACATGAGTACAGAGTTGGTACAGAGCTTACAAGAACTATGAATGCTAGCTGGTGACCCTTAGAGTCGTCGTTTCCTTTTTGTTTAGGCTAGCTTCATCATTCTTTACATATCTTTGCTATAGATATAGCTGGATTATACAAAGGTTTTTGTCTGTGGTAATTAATGTATGTTGAAAAGTAGGGCAAATAAAGCATGATTAGTTAGATGGTAGTTAAAAGATTGCATTGTTGTAGTTGTGAACATTTATGGTGTGGTCTAGCATCACAACTGGCTTAGAATCTCTGAAATGTCTATTAACAAGGGTATCATTGAGAATGCTCATCTGGAAGTGGTGATGAATTGTAACTAAATAAAGCCAGGAAACCAAAAAGTATAGAGAGAAATAAAGCCTGCACCTTCTATGAAGTATAGAGAGAAATCGCTGCTACACATTCATTGTTGGTGTATCACTTGTTCAGATCAGCATATAGTATCTATGCAGAATTTTTTAAAATGTCTGCTCTGCATAGAGTTGATCAAGTATGTATAAAAATACTTAGCAGCATGGACCTCAGGTTCTGGGTTGATTTGTAGAGCTCAGAAAAGTGTTTGCATTGCAGTACTCCTGTTGTGTCTATTGGACTGTACCTTATATTAGGGCTGTACATTCGTTTGCTGCTGCTTAAAGGTGTTTGTTGTTGTTGTTTATAGATGCTGTTTATAGTTGCTGTATTTAATGTGGCATATAATCACATTTGCAATTTATTTTTATTACAGCGGTGCTGTTTCGCTACAATGCGTTCTCCTTTGTGTATTTACTTCTTCTCTTGGCCAATCCATTAATTCCTGGACCTAATTCCAGAAATGCAAATATAGGTAAGTTTTCATAGTTATCTGTGCGGAGGAAATCTTGTTGGCTCTTGGACATTGAGCTGTGGTGTAACTGGCCTATTACTATACTCTCATTAGCTTGAGAACCTTTGTTCTTGTGTGTGCATGTGCACGTGTGTATGTTTTCTTATGCTTTATTGTCGTTAACTTCATGTGGAAAAACTTCTGCTCTTGTGGTATTGGCTCCTGCATATGGTCAAAGGAAGGCATTAAGTTGGATTTGGTTTACTGTTGTGTCCTTTAGATAAGTTTTTTTTACATGTTTCATAGTATTGCCCAAACAGGGAAAACATGTGAAGGCAGCGCAAAAAGTCAATTAAAATATTTTACAAGATTGTTTACATATATCCACATTGGTAAAGAAAGCAACAAAATGGTAATATTAAGGAAAGAACGCAGGGCCATGTTGTTCTTCAATTGATTGGAAATCCTCACACTGAGACAATTAAGCCATTTTTGTTTATGCTCATCAGAATAACCAGAAGCGTGGAAGATTGGGCGAGTTGCATGAAATTATGAAAGAACAGTGCAGTGTCTGAGAACCATCATTTTTTTTTTGCTCTGCTGAAGTGACAGTTATTACAAGATTGTTCAAAATGAAGTGTAGTTCTATGTTAAGCTGAGATTCATAAGTGGACTTTGGGCTTCAGCTGTCATACATGCGAGAATGTAACACATTTTGTGTGGTGTGAACTTGCTTCAAATGATGCTTGTTTTTAAGACTAATTAAGACAGCTGAAATTCCTTCATTGTTTTGTGCAAACTTGTTATGCTGTTAAGTGTTACGTCATTCAATATTTTTCGTTAACATTAAATGGAGTGCTATTAAATGCCATGGTAGAAATTCATTCACATTGACATCAAACCTGTATATTGTCTCTGTTAAGATGTGATGCACTTTGCGTTTTCCTGTCCATTGTTTTCATCTCCAGTGGGAGTCTTTCTGGTTGTCTGAACAGCCGCTTTATGGCATTCTTTTCCAAGTCGTGGTTGCAGGAAACGGTCCTGATAACACTTGTGGCCCATCTGTGTAATCAGTGTTGTGGCGGAAGTACACATGGTGAATTGTGAAATGAGGCCAAGTGTTGCACATGCCAGCACCATCACAATTCTTAATGGGTGCTGAATCTTGCTCTGCACAACGGAAATCGTGCTGTTTTGAATAGTATGTTGCATAGCTGAATGGTTTGGACTGCTGTCTTTGAAGAATCAGCGGGACAAGTATAAGCCAAATGGGAGATTTTGTAGGAACCGTTGAAAAATATTGAAACTACTGTCACACTTGGTAAAGTTGAGTGACAATTATGTAATTAACAGTCTATAAAGGATTTACAAGTATATTGTATTTGGTTGTCTTCATGAATCAGCTGTTTATTTTGCTATGGAGTTGAAATGTCCTTATGTTTTCAGTACGAACAAACTGCTACCTCAAGACAGTTGTAGGAGCAAGCACTTTGTTTTGTGTGGCTCAAGTGGTCTACCAAATAGTTCTGCTATCAACACAAAGCTACAGCAAAGAGCACAGTGTTGCTGACAGGTAAGTAATTGAATAACAAGCATGGAACAACTTAAATATATAGTACCATAGCACTTCATGTTTTACTCTCATTTCATACCTTTCCTATAAACACTATGGATAAAGCTATAAAAGTTAGAATGTTTATGCACATTTAGTTGTTGTAATTACGATATTGAAATTAACAAACATGCTTTGCATCATGCTTTTCATAATCAGCATAGTCTCAAATATACATGGGGAATTTATATCATGTAATTTGCTGCAACAGTATGTGCCTGCCCAATACGTCTCAATGCCAAGCCTACACTGTACATATTTGCAACTTCTTTTGCACTTAAGCAGCTGCAAAAATGTGGTTTTGTTCGCCTGGCTGCCATGTCCGATTATGTGAGGACTCGTAAAGCTGCTCAGGGGTGGGCATTCAAAGGCTTTGGTATTTTTTTATGACGTTGGCCTGAAAAACTAGAACTTGTGCATCAGAACGAACAAAAAAGAGACACATAACAAGACAGGGGTTAAAAAACTATTTTTACCTTTTAATTACTGCTTTATGCATTTTTTGCAAAGTTTTTAATTCATGAGCAATATGAAGAAGTGGATGCTTATTTTGATCCTACTTATAGTTCCTTAACTTTGTTGTATTATTTTGTGCTAGCAGTGTAACACTTGCTTTCTGTTTTATTGTTCATACATTGCCCTGGTACAAAGTCCTGGACATTAACTGCCAGTATAGGAGGTTATAAAAAAGTAATGAAGTAATGGACTGTACTTTCTAGGAGTTCGAAAGCGAGCCAGCCTGCTGACATTTGTAAACTTGGGTTTTGTTGCAAGTTGTAGATGTAGGTGTGATGCAAAATTCTTCGAGAAATAAGCAAAAACTAGCCTTATAGTACTCTTTTGCTATGGCAGGACTTAATTCTAAAAAATTGGTTTGCATGAAATCCCTGCCTTGTTTCTTATTAGCCAAATGCATATAAAATAGAGAAAGCTGAAACTTTCTAAAGATTGTTTTGCCTCGTTTAAAGCATATACCAATATACAAATAACCTTAACTAATGCCTAATAATTGGCCAACAACATTGCATTATAGTGAGATGCGATAACACAATGCACACCTTTCTGTGCAAGGAGCAGCATCTGTTCAGGGAGAGACTGGACGGGCAGATTTATGTTCATCTTGCTTCAACTTTTTCAGGGGCTTGTTGTAGAGGTGTGCTGACAGATTTTGTTTGTGGTTTTTTGTATAGGCTGTGCAATTAGACCATTAAGCTTCAATAACTGCATGGGAAACTATGTGATATGTAGTGGGCCTAAGTAACGATGTGTGCCAAATGCACCGGAACTTCAGCTGGGAAGTGCGAAGCAAGTTACTCTGAAAAATTCATGGTAGTGGTCACATGCTATCACAGGCTACTTCATGAATATTATGTGGAGCTAACTATGCAATTTTGTTGCTTTTCCATGAATCACTATCACTTTTTCTCCAGGTTTGTCCCACTGAGTGCTCAATGTACCTTGCTATCAGTTGCATGAAAACCACGGGGCTTAGGTGTCCACAACAGTAAATTGACGAACATTCACATCAATGCGATGTGGTACCGTGGAACTGTAACCTTCAGTATTCATAATATGACATGTTTATCTCCTAACCCATGCTACATGTTTGAATTGGTTTTATTGGTGAAGTCCTAAACTATCATTGGCAAAGCTTTATTTGCTTGCCATAAGATTGCTAGAAGCTGCATATTGTATTTACCGCCATGACAGTGAAAAAAAGACAAAATAGGTATTGATATATTACATATTGCTGGCACTCACTCCATTGCCCTGACACCCACTGATTTATATTTTTAGCTTCCAATGGAAAATTTCTACTGTGGCACAAATTACTCTAAAGTTCAGGTTACCATCAATGAGACTATAGCGTAGAATCGGGAAGGAAGCTCTCAAGGGTTAGTGAGCCTTCCTCTTAAAGAACACTTGTCTTCGTTCTGGGAATTGACTCTACCTCCATTGAAAACTAGCTGCAAAACTAGCCTCCTGATTCCCCCTCCCTCTGGCTATGCTGCATACTTGGTTGTATGCATGGTAATGTTCTGTGTGCTTGATAGTAGGTTATGTATTGATACGGTTATAACTGTTGCTGTACATAAAATTTTTGGTATCATTTTGTTGTGCTGATGTTTGAATGGCATAATAGCAGCATAGTTGGCACCCTCGTCATAGAGATTTGACCTTACTTTTTTGCATACACAGCTGTAGCCTACAAGAACGCCTTCTAGCATTGGTTGGGCTTCATCGAGCAGATGGAATCAAGGCACCAGAGGCACTTAGTCTTCTTGGCCTCGACTTTGTTGTGCTATTTGCAGCTGTCTTTACCTTGGTGATTTGTGAAAAGCTTGGTAAGCACATTTTATACCTGTAATGCTTGCATGATGGATTTTTCACATTAAATTTACTCTGCAATGCACAGACCATGGAATTTAGTCAATTCTTAAAGGGGCCCTGCAACACTTTTTGAGCATGGTCGGAAAATGCTGCCGATCGATAGTCGATCCTCCCAAGAACACGCGAGCCAAATATTATAGCGCAGCTCGCGGCCTGGGATTTCCAGTAAATTTTCAGTCAGCTAAAAATCTGTTTCTCTTCTTTTGACAAATGATACTATAGACTCCAAAATAATTGTATCATACGCCCAAGTACCATGCCATGGGCTTGTTTGAGCATCGCGCACTCGGGAGTTACTGGGGCCGCTGCAGGAGACCATGGTGTGTGTGTGTGTGTGTGTGTGTGTGTGTGTGTGTGTGTGTGTGTGTGTGTGTGTGTGTGTGTGTGTGTGTGTGTGTGTGTGTGTGCGCGCACGTGCGCGTGTGTGCGCGCGCGTGTGCGCGCGTGTGTGCGTGTGTGCGTGTGCGCGCGTGTGTGCGTGTGCGCGCGTGTGTGTGTGTGCGTGCGCGCGCGCGTGCGTGCGTGCGTGCGTGTGTGTGTGTGTGTGTGCGCGCGTGCACGCATGAAAATCGGTGCATTCAATTAGAAAAAAAGAGACATAATGTGCAAGCTCACCAGGCATATGTGACATACCTTCTTCCCCTATGCCATTCCTCCCTGCTTAGCTTTTAGCGCTTTCGTTGTGACGAGAAAAGAGAAAGCAATTGCATCATGCGACAAATCTTTGCAACTCAATGGATTCTAAAAATCTTGGCGGTGGTCAATTCACGAGGCTATAAGCTTCTTTAGTGAATCCATTCCTTAGCTACCTGGAAAAGTATTGCAGGGCGCCTTTAACAGGCAGGCAAACAAATGCAGTGCGAATGAAATAATAAATTGCAATTGCCCAGAAGACGGGTAAGAGAAAGAAGCTGGAGCTAAAGGCTGAAATGCCTGCTTGACTATGGTCTCGGCTTCCTTGTGCGAAAAAAAAAGACGAATAGAAAACAACAATGTAAATAAGGTTCACTTGCAGATCTGAAAAGTTTTGTTGTTAACTTTATATATATATATATATATATATATATATATATATATATATATATATATATATTATATATATATATATATATATATATGATTTACCTTAAGCAAATCATAACTGTAAAACAATGGCACTGTGGAAAAATGTTTTTCACTTGAGTAACCATGAATGTACCACAAAGCACTCTTCTGAAGGATAAGTAGTTTTTGATAGCTAGTGGTGGTTCCCCTTACTAGAATACAGTAAGTTGACTTTGACCACACAAGCACGTTGCAGAATTGAGGTTTTTCCCACACGGGTACTGAAGGAGACAAAAATACTTTAGGCCCGTGTGCTCGGATTTCAGTGCACATTAAAGAACCGCAGGTGGACGAAATTTCTAGAGCCCTCCACTACGGCGTCTCTCATAATCGTGTGGTGGTTTTGGGACGTTAAGTCCCACATATCAATCAATCCCACACTGGTACTAGATAGTCTACCTTCTAAAGATGGCAAGTTCTCTTACCTATTTCAAATATTAATGTTCATATGGGCATGTTCCAGAAAAGGTTGTGGTGGAACCACACACAAAGAAATTTAATGTAATCAATTTCGTGTATTGTAAAGTTTCGAAACCTAGAGTTTTTTATATATCTTATATAAGTCGGCTGTATTAATGGGCCTTCAAATACTAATGCAAATTTGTTTTAGTTGAATGTATGAAAAAATGATTGCATTGAACTGAAGATTATTTTTTTTTAGATACCCAAGTACCTGTTTACTATAGCCGTGTGTTAGATTTGTCTGTAATAACTGTTTGTGCCTTCAGCATCCCATAATCATGTCATGAGTGCCTTGTTAACGGGTAATGTCATTAATTAACATGACAAATAATAATGGTCTTAGTATAAAACGCTGAGTGACTCGGGATAGTCGGTTAGAAGAGACATCATTCGCCTGCTTGTATGGCATCCTGTAGCATAAGTATCACATACCACATTGATAGTACAAATTATAGGCTCACCATATGTGACATCTGCAAATTTGGGTGCTGTAGCTAATCTTGGTGGTTAGGGTGTACAATGGAATCTCATTGATATGTTTTTCATGGGAACTGTAAAATCTCATTATGTAAAGAAATATTATTAACCAAAAGGTTAAAAAGAACATGCATACACCATCAACAACCCACTTTCATTGAGATACATTAAAGTAGTGGGTCAGTTTGCACTGCACTTTCTTGTTTACAATGTCTAGGGGTGTAGATTCTTCTGAAAAGTTAAAACGAGAAGCTGCAGTTTACTCACTCAGTGCTGCGTTCGCGGCAAAGCATGTCCATGTGTTCAAGGGCATTGCTTATTGTTGGTATTCATCTTTTTACCACAAAACTGAGGCTGCTGTGCTTTGCAATGTGCATTCTGGCTTGTTTGAATGTGGCTTTTAAGCTAGTATATCGAAGAGTAAACATAGAATTTCTAGATGTATCTGTAAAGATCCCTTTATGCAATTGTATTACCCAAGTTTGGGCACAACTGTGATCGTAATGTATGAGAGTGCATTATCTGGTACAAGCCATATTGTCCAGGAGTACATTGAATAATGTATTAAGCCTAAAAATGTATTCTGCAGAGTCATGTCAACATTGCACTGTAATAAGGTCACTTTCTATTTCCGGGCTGCCAGGCAGTGATGGAATTTTGTGGCATGCAATTCAACTTTGCATGTTCAGGAACACTATTGCTTTACATTTATTCAGAGGTATTTAAGGTAGGTTTGATTTTCTACTGAATAATATATTCTAACTAGGCAAGTTGGGAAAATTCAAAAAACCTTGGAAAGGTAAGAAAGTGTTAACTGTAGACCTATTACAATTTTGTCCACATTGTGGGGTTTTCTAGAAAAGTGTACGTGCAAAAAATGGCTTTGTGAAAATATCTAACTAGTTTTGTACATGGCTTTTGCTGCAAAGAACCACTATTACACTCCAAGTGAATATTGCAGACATAGTTCATTATGAAATATAAGTGAAACTGTAATTCGCTTTCTTCTGAACCTAAAAAAAGCATTTGACATAGTGCATTATGAAATATTACTAAGAAAAGCTTGTCCAACTCTGATCCTATGAGCTGCTCACAGATTTGTTGAACTACTACTTCAAAAACACACATCAGGTTGTTTGAATTCGGAACATACAGTTACATAATTTATATGAATGTTCCGCAAAAACATATTACCTCTGCTAGGACCCCTGCTTTGTAATTAGTATGTCAATGATTTTTCCCACCTATTACTGCTTTAAATATGTATAATGTGTGGTGTTTTGACTCTAATATTACTCTTCAAAAATTACAATGAAGGTGTTGGTTTACCTCAAGATGATATTTATCAAACTATGGCATGGCGTGATAAGGACTAGAGATTTGTGAACAAAGAAAAAAGTACAACTTGCTTTCATTACTCACTCACAAAAAAAAAAAACACCTTTTATTATTACCAATGAACTATACTTGTACAGTGTATGCTGCCTTGGGTTCTCTTGCCAGCTATGTATACTGCTGAAACAAAATACTTTAGTTATATTTTGGATGAATTCTAGTTGTCTGACATATGACATAATCTATGGTATAGCAAACAAGTTTGAGCTGTATGAGCAGTCATATACAAAATCACTATATTTACTCGCGTAATGAACCCACCTTTTTTTTTTTTTTCAGGAATGTTGACGTTAATTTAGGAGGAGGGTTCATTACGCGAGAGAAAAAAAGTCACGGGTGTTATAATAGCGGAAATTTCGGCTGATGACTTTGCTTGTTTTGACCCGTAAAATATGCGTCAATTTTTTTTTTTTTTTCTGGTAGCCTGGAGCTCTTTTTGTTTCGTCCCATCATGAAAGTGCTTGGATTGACGCTTAAGTGTCGTCCAGCCACTCGGTTCTAATGCTCGAGCGCATGCTGTTAGTAACCAGTCGTGTAGCTAGCGTACCGGCCGAACGCGCCCTGCGCAGCAGGTGTCCCAACTAAGTTCACAACGACAAACCCAACAACGAAAACGCAGCGTCAGATGGCGGCGCACGAATGTTGTATTAGACGTTAGGGGTGCACAATGCGTCGTCAGCGTGGGTGCTGTTGCGCTTTGCATAGGCCCGAAATGGCGACCGCGTGGCATGTTCCATGACTAAAGTGTACTACAGGGGGGCACTGGAATGAACGAGACGGCCGCGCCGCATCTCGGCTGATTCTCCGGCGGATCACAGTAGTGGTGGCACTATAGTCCCATGGTACTGAAGATCTCGGTAACGTCTACATTGGGAGTGCAAATGCCGTAGCCTGCAAAAATGTGCAATTGCTCGTTTTTAGCGCGTTTAATGCCTTTCTGAGTCTTTATCAGTGTATGCACACCTGCTAAGCACCACGGTGGGTGAGTGAATATGCAGGCACGCCGAAATTGCTTCGAGACATTCACTGTTTCAAGAACCTGCTGACCTCCCCCTCCTCCTAAAAATGTCACTCGGAATTCGCACAGATCAGCCTAGCTTCTCACTCAAGCAGAGCTTTAAGCTGCACTACATCATAAGTGGCTGGCGAACTACAAAGTGGGAAGTATGAAAACCGCGATTAAATCATACGCTCATTTTGTTGGCAGTCTCTACGATATCCAGAGCACAGTGTTCCTCATATGAGCCTACATGCGCTTGATTGTTTCACAAGAAACCAGAGTATAAGTAACATTGTCACAACATCTATATCAGTGACAACTAAGTTTTATCGTGCCAGTTTTGCAGAAGATAATAATTATTGCTTTCTGAAAGGCTCATTACATATTAAGCATATTGAAAACTATACACAAACATATTAAAAAGTGCCAATTGTATATATAGCCCGTCTGTTAATCTTCATAAATTCATTGTAACCAGTTCTCATTTGCATTGACAGCCTAAATTGTGCTGCTTTCCAAATATTCTATTGGCGTAACGTCATTGCAAGCCAGTAAATTTATGACAGTGTTTTGTACACACACACACACTCACGCATGTGTGTGTGTGTGTGTGTACAAAACACTGTCATAAGTGTGTGCGTGTATCACACGCACACACTCACGCATGTGTGTGTGTGTGCGTGTGCATGCTCCCAGCTACTATTTTTAGGTGGTGCATTTCTCGTACGACTACGTTAGATTTGAACTAGTTTTAAGATGTCATAGTGTCGAAAAGGTGAAATTTACAGTGCGCATTTGTACAGTGACATGCTGTATTCAGCTTTGCCAACTGTAAACGTTCAGCACAAGGCCACCCAGAATTTTTTTTATGGGGGCAGAGGGTGGGGGCAGTAGAATGACCAACTTTGGCAATTGGTAGTCGTTGTGAATGCGTGTAAATTTTCAGGGTATCTTAAAATATTTAAATTGCAAAAACATTTCGTGGTGTAGGGGGTTCAGATTCCCTTCCTCTCACCTCTTTACTTATGGCTTTCTGGTTCTGCCTGCGTTTGACACTGTATTTGTTTTTTACTCTCGCAGCTTTTTGAGCACAGCTAACTTCCAATAAATCGGCTCAGTTATTCTGAATATTGTAGATGCCTAACCAATGAAGAAAGAGTCAAGACAGAGAAAATCGGTATAAGACATGCCCTTTATGAATTATTTTTGATGTCTCACAAGGGCTTTTATGGAGCTCAAATTCAGTAAATGGGCATGTCATACTTCAAGGGCTATGACATCATGTGCTAGACATGAATGATGGGCAGGCATGAAGAAATCTGCATCAAGAAAGCACGATAGAGGAGCCGAAGCGCATAGCAGTTTCTGCACGCGGGGCGCGGCTCTTTCAGTACTATTTGACTGTAGCACCGCCGCTGCAGGCAACGTGAAAAGGATTGGGCGGTGAGGTGCGGTCACGCCACTCAACACTTCTATTACTCTACCGTGACGCAGCATGGCGCCATTTTGGACGCCATGCGCTTTGTTTTTGTACCGCAGTGCTTGTGTGGTGCTAGAAGCAAAGAGGTTTGTCCTGCATTGGACAGATGGCGCTTTACCATACAAGGCGCGACTCTCAAATTTTAATTGACGTCATCCGAGCTGGCGCTGCTCGCAACTGTTTAGCATGATTGCAAAACTATGTTTAATTTTGATTGCATTGTTATTTTGTCATATAATGGCTTGATTTAATGTTGTTTCGATAATTAATGGCACTGCCTATAACACCGAAATAAAATTAACAGATACATTTTTAAAAGTTTTTTTTTTCTTTTTTTTTAAGGATCAAGGTGAGGGGTGGGTTCATTATGCGAGTAAATACGGTATATCAGTTTGTTATTTGAGGTTAGGAATACTTGGAAACGGAGTGCCAGCATTCCAGTTCCTGATGCACAGACTAGTTTAAGAGCTAGATCATATAAGAAGACTCATCTCTAAGCATGGTGGAGAAACTAGTATGGCATTACAATATAGGCACATACTTCCTTATACAGACTAAATGTATTGAATATAATAGTACAGGAATTAATAAGTAACCGTATAAAAAAACAGTAACAGCTGGTTGCAGATATATTTGATATCAAGCAACATTTTCCATTCAGAAGCAAAATAAAAAAAATTGATGAATGCTTTAAAATTGAGAACTTCAGTAAAGACTTAAAGCTAAAAAAAATGCAGAAGAAATATTGCACACATTAGAGGTGCTCTAGAACGCTCATGGCGAGTGTATACCTTTCCTGGCCCTGCGTCTTCCTTTTTGTGCCCTCGGGTTTTATTCCAGTATGCAGTGCCAATTAGCTTACGTTGGTCTAGTGGTTATGGTGCTCGACTGCTGACGCAAAGGTGGCGGGATTGAGGCTTATGTACATAGATTTAAATGCACGTTTGAGAACCCCAGGTGGTTGACATTTCCGGAGCTCTCCGCTATGGTATATCTGTCATATTGTTGTTTTAGTACACTAAACCCTGTAAATTATTATGTAAGAATAGATTACCTTTCTCTCCCGAGAACTTCAGGTGCCACAGGATGTTCCAAACTGCGCTAGAGTGAAACATTCCTTAAAGCTAAGGTATTTCTGAGGTGAGCTTTAACAAAAAAAAAAAACAGTCGTATTACATACAACTATACTTGGTAAAATGCGCGAGATTTTCAGCATATCAACAGTCCAAAAAATAAGGCATTTTTCATTGCATGGTTTTATCAAACAACTGTGAATAAGTCCAAGGGAATGTTGTGACAGGATTTTTTGTGTAAAAAAAATGGTGTGTATTTCTGTATTTGTGGTTTAGATTACTTTCTTCTTCAAAGCACATTATTAAATAGCACATAACATATTATGGAGGATTGTGTTGTACACGCAATCACTTTTCCTGCTTTCTTAAGTCATTGCTTTAACCATGGATAAAGACAAATAGGGACGAGGTATGGAAAAGGAAGAGAAATCGTGTTCACTCATTGTGCAAAGCTGTGTGAAAGCGTGTAGTGGTCTGTATGGAAGCATTGATGCTTTTGCATATTTCAACATATATTTTAATTATACAGAGAGGGAGAGAGAGAATTTTCTTCCTAGTCATATCATCTTTTTCTTCTTGTTCATGTAAACCTAAGACTGAATTGTCATTCACATCAGTGCACCACTCAGCCACACTGAAAAATGTCCATTCATGGGGAGTCTTATAAAATAGGTTGTACGTGTAGCTATTCTCGCTCGTCACGTTATATGTTTGAAAGAAAAAAAAGACTTATAAAGAAATGCACACATATAAGAGCCGATTTTCTCCAATGTTCTCTCTGTAAAAAGTATGTGTGTGTGTCTCCTGCAAAATTGAGCTTTCACCTCTGAAAAAAAAAAAGCAGAAAGTTCTGATGACATGGTAGAGTCTAATAATCCACAGTATGTATTTGTTACATGCCTGATCTGTGCTTCTTTTTCGAGCTTTCGTGAGGCCTTTTTGATATGTTTGAGGCATTGTGAAGAAAGCCATGCATCTTCATTAATTTTGTTTCCTTTTCCAGCCACCCCTGATGGCACTCCACGCAGTGGTGCTGTGCACAGACGACGGCACACATTCCTCATGCTACTGGGTGAATTTTTAGTGCTACTTCTAATGGCAGCTGCAGGAATTCTACACGCATCTCTATGTTCGCTGGCCTACTTTGTGGCATTCCTCTGGTCTGCCACATGGTTGGGCATGCATCGTCCACTAGGGACGGGTTATCAAGTCATGCGGACACTGTTGCTGATCTATAGTGCCATGCACTTTGTGGCCCTCTACACATACCAGCTGGACTATATCCAGGAGCTGGTGCCCTCTGCCAGCCTGCAAGCCAGGTTAGCCATGCAATTTTCTGGCTACTACTTTAGCGATGGAGCTGCTTATATGAATCCTAGGGAATTCTTTAACATAATTAGTGATGAGCAGATAAGGATTGGTTTGTAATTCAGGTAGCAGCACAAAAGTAGCTATTTTACTTAAAATGGTATTGTGCAAAAAAAAGTATCCATTAATTTCTTTAACAAATCACACAATGCACTCCTCACCAGGCCCCTTTGCAAACTCCATAACAACAAATGCCACTCCAACTTCCACCTCAATGCAATGCATTGCCTTGAGTTTGAAGAGGACAAGTCTGGTGAACGAGTTCAGATTATCCAATTTGCCAAATTAATATTAAGGCTCAAGTTACTGACACTTTGCTGTAACACATTGAGGGCCCTATTGTAAACGCCTGTAACAACATAATTTTTTTAGGTGTCCTGTCAGTTTTAATCTAATAAAAGTTTATACTGATAGGTTTAAACTGGAATTTATAAGGTATTGTCTGTCAAAATTTCTGCGATATAGTTTTTACAGGTATTCATTGGTAAAGCTAGATAAAGTTGAAAATAGTCGTTACTTCTCGTTTGGAGGTGACTGTCACTGTCAAGAGTCTCTCCCTCTTCGGCTGGGCCAGCATCTGCAAGTAGTGCTTCTTTCTTTTATGCATAGAATGACAATGTCAAGTTCATGTGGCGTGCCCAGCCTGCTTTTTTTATCTATATTACTTTCCTGCATATTTCTATTTTGGCATTCCACATTCCACATTAGATGATCAACCAAAGTTGCATGCCATGATGGGGTGGTTATTGACATTCCAAGCAGTGCATGTTGCGTAGAATATTTGTGCGTGTGAACTTGACTCTCACTTGAGGTATAGCTTCCTCGACAGGAAGGGTATGCAGCTTCGAAATTATAACGTTTTTTTGTGCCACCCAGCGATTTCATACTTTGGAGACACTATCGCCACTGTATGTTATGCTCTCAATTTATTCATCCATAATAGTCAAACCTAGTGAAGGGTCTCTTCAAAATCCTATTTTCTAAATGTGTTATGTGAATGGTCTTGTAACTTTTCCCCAAAATCAACTAGATTGACATATTAAATCACTTTATACATTCTGTTCACTTCAGCTTTTTTTAGAAATGTGTTCTCTTGAAATATGCTTGTGGTTTCTAGCAATGTCACATGTTCATTGTTGTACCCCTGTCTTGATTCTTCCCCTTTCTGATCATTGAATTGTATTGTCCATTGCATTGGGAGCTTCTACATGGCTTTTTAAATTAAATACTTGGAAGATATTGTCATATCGCTAGGAAGGTATGTTCTTTATTATCAGAATGTATGCACACGGTAAGCTCTGTAGGCTTTCTCTTGAATTGATGCAAACACTCTTGACTTCTCTAAAATGTATTCGACTGATGTGCAGGTAGCAGCTTGACTTTAGTAGTGAATTCACTTTGAGGATTGCCATATGTACTCAGTGCAAGAGGTGCCACTCTAAATTAAGCTTGTGCAAATAGTGCTTTTCATCAAATAATTTTGAATTGAATTCAAATTGTATGTATCGCATATTAAATAAATGGCCATATTTGCTGCGAACCTGTACTAACCTGTACAATATTTTTTTTGCAAATTGATACGAGGTCTTTGCAAATGCTTTTTGTTTGTTTGTTTGTTTGTTTGTTTGTTCAAATGAAGTGGAAACAACTTTGAATAGTAGCATGATTTGACTTTCAGTAGAATGCAAATGATAACCTGTAAAATATGTTACATTTTAAAATTTACAGTACTTAGAGCATACAAGCCAGTGTAACAAGCTTATAAACTTGGAAAATGACTAATGTATGTGAGGGTAATACGTTCATTTAACCCTGAAGTGTAGCTTCATGGCAGTGTGGATTTCCCCTCGATAAGTGTTTTCTACATATCCTGGGGAAATTCTGCTTAGCATTCCTTTACTGCAGTGAAATGACTGCTTTCATAGCTTAGCACCTCTTTAGTGCAGAGAAACCACATTTAGAGGGGTTATGGGCAGACTAATATTTATTCATTATTTTTAAATACTTCAACATTGTCAATAATTTAAATTCATATCTAAGTGCATTTGAATACCTTACTGTTCATTCGAATTTCGATTTGCACACACCTACTTTAAATATTGCTTGACTGTCTTTTGGATTCCACTTCTCAAGTAGTAAACTGTTGCTTTACTAGGCAGATTATTTGCCTGTGGCTAGAAATATTTTCTTCAAGTGAAAGTTCTGTAAGCATCACTTGCGTGTGATAATTTGCTAGCTGTTGCTGCTTCACAGTCAGGGCAAAGCTGAAAGTTGATCTGTGTGATAAGTTTTATATGTTAGGAGGAATGACCAAAGATGTCCTAGTTGTTCTCTTCATTGATTTTACTAGGTACTGCATGCTGCAGCTATGCTGCAGATCATGCATCATGCAGGCTCCCGTGCAGACCCTTTTTGTTACCATTTGTTATCTGTTAAGGCTTGAACTGCCACAGCAAATAGCAGCAGTCATTGGTTCGTCACTTTTGCTCTTAGCATGAGTACATCGCGAGGCATGCAGATGTCATCCCACTTTTGCACTGTGTGCTCTGTGTAGTAGCTTAGCAAGGCAATGCTGATGGCTGGTACAAAAAGTAAAGCCAAATTTATAACTTTGTGCTGACTCGCGTTAACAAAATTTGTTGCTTGTGGCTTTGCATCAAAATTTTAAAAAAGCATGAAGGTGTCGCTACACATTTGTTAACCAAACCTACATTTTACCTCATTAAAGGTTTTTTTTATTCGAAAAATGCAGTGTTGGAAGGCTATATGGATTGCAGGAGTCTTTTTAAAATAAGGCAAGAAGAGCAGTTCTAATTATTTTAATGATTAAAAATTTTCTGAATGTGCCAATGTTGAATTTATGCATTGCTTACATTTCAGGCTTTTAGGGCTGACTTCACTGCGCATTCCTGCTTGCAATTCAACTGCACCAACAGAGGCAGACGTAAGGGTGCTGCAGTTTAGGTCATTGCATTGGACACTGTACGTGAGCCCTTTGGTGGTGCTGAGTTTTTATTTTACTGTGGCCACTGTGACTCGACTGCAACTTCTGCAGCAGTTGGTGAGCTATGCCCTCATTGACTACTTTGTCGGCTTTGCAGTTAAGCTTTCATTTGAACTCCTTGTTTGTGAATATTTCTTAGCATAATAGAAAGCATGTCCCTAAGGTAGGTTTGTGAGAACTATGAAGAATATTTTATTTGGACTGTGCCCTAAAGGTATGACAGTTTTCCCTGTTTGACCAACTAAATGAAGTTATATATAGTGTTGTTTTCTTGCTGAAAAAAATTCGGCTCTTAGAAAAATGTAATTAATGCTGATGTTATGCTTTCCATTTGTTTGTCCAGATTTATAGCTTTTAGATAGGAAGCAATTTATACATTTGTGATAACTGTTTGATAGCTAATCTGGCAAGTGTAGTTGAGCAGCTGAAAGCTTACCTTTATGTTTAACTAGCCAGGCATTGGCATGTTATGTAAAGGATTTTGTCTGAAAGCTACATATATGCAATAGCTGTCTCGCAAGTTGAGAGATGAAATCCTGGCCACTGAGGCCACATTTTTTTATGAAGGTGAAAATGCTCAAGGCCTGTGTACTTGGATGCATATTAAAGAGGTAGTTGACATTTTTGGTCGACATGTATGGCTTCCTTCATAATCATACTATGGTTTTGGGATGTTAAACCTCATCAATTAGTATTGTTATAAGACAAACAATTGCATTACACTAGCAGGCTTGTATAAGTGTCGCCACTGACAAGATCTCATAAGTTCATGGCCTTGCTTGCACAATGTTTTCGCATCTGGCTCGAGCATGGTTTTTACGCCAGCGTAATGCTAAATTTACAACACTGATTTGTTGTGAATCACTCTTGTCTACTGTGATAGTTTGGTGGTTCATAAAGTACTAAAATGAGCCATATAAAAGAGGGAAGCATTACTTACTGTAGTAAATATGTATACAAGAAACAGCAAAAAGGTTTGAGCAGTAGACAGAAAAAAAAAAACTAATTTAGCAGTAATTCACTGAAAAAAAAGGGGGGGGGGGGGGTTTGAGGGTAAAATAAAATCAAAACCAAGAAGATTTGAAAATGTATTGAACAACTTTAATGCCAGCTAGATAGATCACATCACATACCAGGTTTGTCCCTAAAGTTCCTGCTTGATTTTGTGTTATCTGCAACGTCACCTGGTGGAGCGGGGTGGAGGAGTTATCGGGGGATGTAAGCTTTGAAACAAGACTTTTCTCGGTTGCCTCTGGCAGTTGTTAAGAAAGGTCACGCTCCATACAGAGGTATGCGTCAACCGACCCTCACAGAGAAAACAAATAGTCCAATTGTTGAAGCACCATTACGCAATCATGTTTTGTGTGAAACTGGGTAAAAACAGGGCGAAGACGCTTGAAATGCTTCAGAAAGCATACAGTGATTAGGCAAAACGAACAGGTTTCCTGGCAATTACTGCGCCGTACTGCTTCAAAAGGCTCTTTTTTTTTCTAAATATTGCGTCATTGCTACACCACAAGGTGGTTTTGGAAAGGAGTTATATTGACAGCACACATCGTGGGTGGATATTACGTGATGGTCGCCATCTTTTACACTTGCGCTGCTGTAAAAGCACTGAATCGTCTGACAGTTATATAGATTTTGGCATGATTGTGACGGTGGCTTTTCTGGTAACCATTGCCAAAAAATGAAGGCGTTGTGGCGACTACCTAAAAGTGTGCCAGTATGACTTATTGCCGACAAAAAGCCTACGTGTGTGGCATAACATCACTTTTAAGCCTACTGCATGCTTTTAATAGCCTGTAATTACCTGAGAGCGCCAATCGCTGCCGTCTCAATTGCTGTAAGAGACTGTGTTCAGCATGCATTGTTTTGCAGAAATGAAAACAACTCGCTGTTGCGGAGTTCAGCGTTGTAGATCACAGACACAGGGATAGCAAGCATAGCACACACTTTCATGAGGCGACAGCTCAAACGCACCTCCGTCTGATGCCAGGATTGCTAAGGCATCGCTTGCTGAAAGCTTGCATTGTCCTGTTAACACAACAGGCTTCTCGCTGCATCTGTGCACAGTCTGAAACTGAGTGTGCGCAAGCGGCTTCGCACGTTGTGTATGCCAAGTAGATGAAGCGCTGCATGCAACAAGCCTGTAGACGATCGACTCCCTGCTATCGTATCGTGTTTAAAAAAAACTGTGTCACTTTTAGTTAAGTAGCAGATCACGGTACACATTTATCGCGCACAGTTGATTATGTCCATTTTGTTGCTATGTCAGTCGCTGCGTTGGCTGATATATCCAAGACTCCGCAGTAGTTTCCAAATGATCTTAGGTGTCGCCACCACGTGCCATCAAGTGGTTGTGCGAGAATGCCTATCATTTATAAACATAGAAATGGCTTTTGGGTGGGTACTTTAGAAAGTTATTTGCTGTTGGACGGTATTTATTCCTTCTTTAGCGGTGATGGCACACATAAAAACATCAAATCGGTACTTGGTCATAGGTGTGTTGTGGGGGGAGGTAGCAGGGGGCACCAGAGGGGGGCACAAAGTCAGCCCCCTACATTTACTTGATTACCCCCCCCCCCCCCATATCATGTACTTGGTGGTACATAATGCATACTATGTTTAGCGCATAGTTAGTCACGTTTCCGGCAGGTTCTTGGCATGTATGTACATCTTAACGAAGTTTACTCTAACAAGCTTTGAGTGTGTGTGTGCATACATTTGTTCATGAACGCACGTTGCTATTAACTTCATGCTGCAGCTATTTTGTTGGTGCAATATGCTTCACTGTCTTATGTCACCACTTCTTTATATGGTCCCACTTTTCTTTATTTTTTGTGCTGACTTGCTGATGTGGGCTTGCTGCTTCTGCATAAATGATTAAATAAACTTGGGGAACATTTAACTAAGTTAAAGCTAAATTTTCTGCCTTTGTGTGTATCATGGAAAGCCCGTGCATGTTCCAAACACAGAGCTGTAGCTGCTCCGAAAGCACATTTTGCCTGCTTCAATGGCTGCTCCAAAATGCTGGAAGGCATTCCCACCACTGCAATTCTTATCTGGGCTTGTAGAAGTTTTCTTGAAGAAGCACTGTAAGACTGCTAGACCTCGGGCTGAAAAGGACAGGGCAAGAGTGGCGGTCATCTCCTACCTAAATGGTGTGTTGCACAAGGTCAAGAATAAACATAAGGGAGGTGTTTGCAGTGCCAATGAAGCTGGGTTCATTGTGTGAGAAGGTGAATTCCCCTCGCCCAAGTCTCTGCACTTGCAAGAAGCGCCATGCAACACAGTTTGTGCCTTGCAAGACCGAAGTGATAAGCGAGCTACCTGTGTCCTGCTGGGGGCTGGACAGACAAGTGTTGGGCAGATGGTTCGATGCATCAACGACTGACTGAGAGAGCACAAGGACAACCTCAAGACCCGTACTTGATGCAATTTGGATATTCATTATGCCAACTGTAGCAGTAGCCCTAATTTTAATCATATGCGCATCTTGCGCAGATATCGGGATAGCCGTGCCCGGGAAATTTACAAAACACTTACAATTCATTCCATTGGGTGAAAATGTGTAAGCGCACGATCGATCATACCAACCGACTAAAAAATTACCTCCTCTCATAATCATTGCATAGTCATGGACTAGTTGGGATGCATGCATTGTTTTTGTTATTTCCGTTTCCCAAGGAGTGTATATATTTGTGCACTTACGAAACAAACGCTCATGTTGTTAACAGTGCCAAGTCCTACGAGCCTTTCTTGATCTGTATTTCTGCACTGTTCTCTGCTATGAAGCCAAGCCAACAAGCTCAAGTTAATACCCTTTGAATGGCATGAATGCTGTAGAACTGTTTCAAAATTCTGGGCCAAAGTGATCGCAAGGAAAGAGACATCGATTTAGGTGTACGATTTCGAATCAGTGTCTAAAACGTTAGTGGCACACTATAGTCTCCTGGCCCAAAAAAACAAAGAAGAGTGAATCTCGAATCAATAGAATGCTCATTGTGTTTTTGTCAGAAAAGGTGTAGTTCACAGGGAGTTGATGCCACAGGGGCAAACACTCATCAAGGAGTTATACCATGAAGTGCTCAAATGGTTGCATAATAGGGTTTGTCACAGCCCAAAATAATTTCACAATAATTGGATCTTGCACCATGTCAATATGCCAAGCTACACCTCATTGTATATTCTCATTGCACACTCCTCATCTTCAAGTTGCTGGCCAAAATGAGTGTGGCAATGCAGCCCCAGCTGTTGTACAGCCATGACCTGGCACCACCAAACTTTTTTGTTCCCAAGGGTCAAAAGAACTCTGAAAGGAACTTTGCAAGGGACCCTGTGGACAGCTGAAAAAGAAGCTGCAATGACCTCACTGTAGGAGCTTTCTATTGACTGCTTCTTGGTCACCTTCAATAATTATGGGAAGGATTGAGGAATCATGCATTAAAACAGAGAGAGCGGACACTTTGAAAAATTCTGAAAAGATAAACGGATATTGAATAAAAGATTCACAAAAAACATATCGAGAACTTTTTGATTCTGTAGGTGCAGTTGACTGCCAAGATGTACACACACACACACCGAAGAAAAAAACTTGATGTGTGGCAGAGAAACAATTGCCAAACATTGATATGTTGCGAAGAGATAGGAGCATGTACAGTATTCCATTTTAAAGAAACTCTATTTAAATATCTTAGTTTGTTAATAGGAAGGCTTTAGATGAAAAACAAAGTTGCAAAACAATTATTCACAAGACAACATATGTAGATGATGGAATAAAAATGTATTAATGATAAACGATGTCTCTGTGCACTAACAGTCCTTGTATTGTGGTATGGTATGCATTTCAGCTTTTTGGTTCACGATTTCCTGTAAAAAACAGCCCTGACAGACTGAATAAAGAGGGTATATAAACCATGGTGACATAGTTTGTGTCCTATTTGTTTTTCTACTATTTCTTTAGTTGTCCAGTTTTTTTACACTGTTTTCTACTGGAAATCTTGGATGGCGATCGTCAACCTACGTGCAAGTGCAGCAAAGCATACGCTTTATATAGTTTGTCATGTTATTGCAAGTTTTTTTTGTAAAATGAGTGTGGACTTGTAGGCTGCAGACTGCCTATCTGGTGCTGGCTAACTTTTTTTAGGGCCTGGTTCTAAATAATTCAAAATGAATAGCCTACAAAGTTCAATAATCATCCCTGTACATCTGTTTGCAGCACGCTGCTCACATCATCCAGAGTGATTGCAAGCTACTTCTATGTGCTACAGAATTCTATTCTTTCAGTTTCATCTTCTTTTTTTTTAGTGATGTGATGTTGATCAGAAATTTATTCCTGATACGCATTCTAATTTTACATTTGATAAGTTAGGCTAATTTACACCTTTTTTTTCTAGTCTTTGTTTATAGGTTGGCAAGCTTGCTAACTAATGCTTCTTATTAATGAAGCACTACTGTTTTCTTATTTTTGATCACTATTCTGCAGCCATGTAGCACATGCTCACAATTTTCTTTCTTTGTTTACCTTTCTTACTCATAGACTCGAGAGTCTCCCATCTTGGTGACGACAAGTGGTGTTGGAGGTAATGCTCCTCGCCAAGACTCCAAACGCAGTTCACAGCGATCAGCAAACTCCTCCTCTCGAAGGAACAGAAAAGAGAGCGGGGTAACTTGTTCTTGCTGGGCTCGTCTGGCTTCCTTTTAGTTTTTTGCCTTAAATTCACGTAGCTGCCTTCTGTGGATTGACCACAAGATTTAGTTTATATGCACACTGTAATGCTGCACAGAACGAGATTGAGTGGCTTTATATTGTACCTCCTCTTGACCCAAGAGAAGCGTGCTATAAATTTTGGTGCGAGTGTTTCACAGCATGAACATATCGATGGGAAAACTTTGACAGATTGAAATATTTAAGGCAATATTGATTATTGCTGCATAAATGTATTTCTCTTTTCACTTCCAAAGTGATATTGTACAAAAAGTTGTATTAATATGAATTTGTGGTAAGTCAATGTGAGTTTATATGTTTGTTCTGCAACATGGCCATTTTTGGGCAGCTTGTTTTAATATTTAGTACCTCGGTGTTGTTCTTGGAATCACTGCTCTTTTTCTTTCTCTCTCTATTTTAGATTTATTGGTTTTTTGCTTTCTTTCAGCTTTCTCACTTTTAGATTTCCACTGGGTCTTTCTATATTATTGTGTTTTGGGTAGCTGCCATATGTAGCACCAGTGCACTATTGGCATCAACCTGAACCGAACAGCGACGAGCATTTACCGTGGTATAGTCCGATTCAGCAGCACTGTCCACGTATGCCCACTTGTCCATGGTGATAACTGGACAGCATGCGCTATGCCACTTTGAATGCATGCCACTGTTTAGGCTTCACTTGATGCCAATAGTACAGTGCTCATCAATTGCAATACATCAAAACTTTGGTAGAACGACTGATATGTGCAATAGCTTGGGGTAACTGCATCGTGTCGCGAGAATCTGGCTGCGAAAAGTAATGTTGCTGTGATGCAAATGTCTGGGTCAAAATTGCTCTGGAGGGACACGACCTGCAGATTATGGAAATGAGATTACATTTGCATTACATAGCTCTAAATATTGTATCTCAATCCATGAGCACTGCTCCTTGAATGGTGGCTTTACACATCAGTAAGGCATTGTTGGGTAAACCAGTTGCTCTTAAAAAGTTGCTGGGGCTTTCACCTTGGAAACATGATGAAGGCATAAAGTGATACACAGCCCAACTTGAAAAGCCATAGCAGGAATTGTACTAGAAGAATTACTACATTGGATCAACTTTCTTGATGTGCATTGAGTTACGGCTGCATTGCAATGTTGAGTACCTTACTACAGTGAAACTTTACTTAAAATCTTTATTAGTATCTATTGCTTCTAAAAATTATATTGCACAAAATTTTTATCTGTCATTAGTTTTGTAGCCTTTATTATGAACTAAAGCTTTAATAATAAAACCTTACTGCTGTTGAATTGAATGGGATCGAAGCTACTCAGTTGCTGCTTTAGTGAATTATATGCATTAAAGAAACAAGGTTTTTAGACTCAGCCACTTGCCCTAGCATACGTATAAGGATTCAGTTGAATGAAATGTGAAAAATCATGGGGTTATGGTTATCATGGGTGGCCTTTTGTTATTGAACTATATTTAGTCACAGATATTCAAAATTTTATTTTGTTGATAACTATATGCAACCTTGGGGCCACTTTCATTTTTGCATAAGCGATAATATTCCATTCACCAAGGCTATGCTCCAAGGGTATTTCAGCCGATACAAGCACAAGCTCTTGATTATAAAATTTCTCAATTAAGACTAGAGCAGACTTAAAACATTTGTAAAGGGACACTTTGGCACTGAATTCTTTCAATTGCTTATGCAAGACTGCCGAAGAAGCCCCGCCGTGGTGGTCTAGTGGCTAAGGTACTCGGCTGCTGACCCGCAGGTCACGGGTTGGAATCCCGGCTGCGGCGGCTGCATTTCTGATGGAGGCGGAAATGTTGTAGGCCCGTGTGCTCAGATTTGGGTGCATGTTAAAGAACACCAGGTGGTCGAAATTTCCGGAGCCCTCCACTACGGCGTCTCTCATAATCATATGGTGGTTTTGGGACGTTAAACCCCACATATCAATCAATCAAGACTGCCGAAGAAGCACAATTATTTTTCAATGCAGACAATCAACAAATTAGTAGCTCGTTTACAATACTTGCTTTTCCCTTTCACTTCATTCCTGCATACCCTCATGAACTCTTTGAGAGAAATTGTGTGCAACATATTTTGCAGTTTCACTGCTCCTGCAGCATGCAAGTGGTCTGTTGTGTAAGTGGGAAAAGCTGGGTCGAAAAGGCCCAGCATATTTGGGAATACGCATGCACTCACACTTGTTAGTGTTTTTTCTTCATAGATCTCCTGGTCTGTTTAGGCTTTTTTTATGCCACGCACACATACAGTCCAACCCCTTTATAAAAGACATGCAGTTTGCAGCAATTTTTGTCTTCTATATGAAGAGTCTTTTTAAGCAGGGTATCACATATGCATTTTATTGTCAACCCCTATTTCAATGCAGGCACACTGGTGTCTCTTAAACCGACTTGTCTCTCTCATCAGCGTCTCTTTTAAAGGGCCACTCACCAGGCCCCACACCGAAATTTATTTAAATATCGGAAGTTGTTGGGTGTCCGACGAGGAACATTTTGCCACAATAAGTTTTCGAATCGATTCATCACGAGCGGAGAAAACGGGGTTTTTTAAGCGGCGCGAAACGAGGGTGAGAGGTGGTGAGATCGAAACACTTGCCACTCCCCAGCGTAGCCTTCGCAAGCCAAATCTCTTCCCCACCCTCTCCAGCATCCGACCATGAGGTGACGTGCGCATGACTTGCCCAAACAAGTCCAACCCCCGAGCACGCGAGCAGCGTTGCTTTGTTGACCAGCGTTATTTTGTGGTCTTCTGCCTGTTTCTGCTGGATGGTTTGGAAACGCTGGCTTAGACGCGGTAGAGTGAATGAGCACAATCAGTGCGCGAACGCGTAGGAGCGTTCCACGGCGGTCGTCTGCTCAATGCGCTGACCGCGGGTACACCAATGCATGCGAAACGCTGGCACATTAGCCCCGCATCTCGTAGCATTTCACGGGAAAAAATGAAAGAAAAACGCGCACAATTTTTTATTGTGTCTCGTTATTTATTTCAAGTTTTATTAATCTCTTAAGCAACAAATACATAAACTACGCATGTTGTGTCAAATAATTTTTGCCATGTCATGTGGTATACTGTTGACAACGTCGGAGCAGAGTTGTCTATGTAGAGGATAAACGTCATTGCATTGCCGTGTACGTATGGCCATTCATACGCCCATGTCATGCCCTCATTTTCTAGGCGTGCGCCGGCAGAGGGGAGGGGGACCAGCGTTCATCATGAAATTTGACCCATTTCCGCGGCCTGTAGCGTTGCAAATTTTGGCAGACGTAATCATGAATGCTTTATCCACGCATTGCGTTTGTCAGCTCAAAATTGTCAAACCTGGTGAGTGGCCCTTTAAAGGAGTTCAGCTATACTTGTTAACTTGACAGACCGTGTGCTATGATAGACTGTACATGCTTCTAAGTGTAATATAGTAGGATGGCTAGGTAAGCTAGTTGGTATTGCGTATTGATAGAAAACTTGAAGGGCAGATTTAAAAATGCCGGACAAAGAAGTTACGGAGTTGTGCGTTTAGCCTTCTTCATCCTGTGTCTTTATATTTGCACTAGGTTTCATAAGAATAAGTGTACTGCATTCATCGTGTACGAGTGAAGGAATAAGTGAAGAAAGCTACAGAAATGTAACCTGCCACGGCGGTCTAGTGGGCATGGTGCTCAATCGCTGACCCGAAAGTCGCGGTTTAGAATTCCGGCCACATTTTCTGATGGAGGCGAAAATACTTGAGGCCCGTGTACTTGAATTTAGGTGCATGTAAAAAACCCCATATAGTCAAAACATCTAGAACCCTTCGCTATGGCGTCTCTCATAATCGTATTGTGGTTTTGGGACATTAAACTGTTACAATTATTGCGAACTAAAGAAATATAAAATGCACATTATGAGGCAGGTTCATGTAGGCCTGTAGGTTAGGTAGCTCCTTCAAGGACAAGCTAGTGAATTGTTTAGTACCAGTAGTTAGTAGTAATGAGTAGAAGCACAATACTTTCATTAGCTGTAGAATAATTTACAAGGAAGGCCATGCCTCTCAGCCATGTTTCCATCTCTATGGCCCTTTGTTGAGACCCTGGTAGGCAGGTGAAAGTATTTCTTCACACGCTACAGGTGAGGAAGTGGCTACTAAAGTGGGAGAGGATATTACCCCATGTAGTGAACAACAGAGGTTAATGAGGTTGTGGTGTATAGTCGAGTAAACAAACAGGGATATGAATGAATGTGTCTGGAGTCAGCGCCAGGCAATATTGTGCCGTTTGTAAGAATATCTACGTGCTGAAGCTTTTTCGTCTGGCGAAATACTCGAGCCACAGATGAAACTTCTGAATCAAGTTTTCAAATGGAGGAAGCAAAATCAGATTAGCAGCTTTTGAAATATTTGAAAAAATGAAACACATCGGTGTTTATGTTTTTCTAGAAATGTACTTGTCATGCAGCTAAATATCATAGCAATTGCAGCCAGCACTCATTCATGTTGGCTTGGTAATAAGTGTCCAGTCATTGGGCTCTAATTTAGGTGCTTTAAGGTTTCAATTTTTATTATCTCTTCTATCATCACCAAGCCACAACTTTCTTAAACATACAGTATTGAAATCTATGTAAACAAGAACGCATTTTCTTATGTTCCTACTGTATATATGTGCCTTCTTTTTTACTGTAATTGTGTGCATCTTGTGAGACACTTATCAGCTAGCCATACTTGACATGTAGTTAGGCTGTAGGCAGTTCTTGGTCATTTCATTTCTAACTGGTTTCTTTAAGCAAAATTGATATTGTGTGTGCTGAAAACCTTGGTGCATGAAATATTTGTCAAAGAAGCATTGGCACTTTCTTCAACAAATAGAAATAATTGGCGCTTTACATTACTGCAGGAGAGATAAATTCTCTAAGATCCTTCTGAAGGTGATGGTGTCGGTGCTGACGAAAATGCGAGCCATGGCTTACATTTTTGTCACGTGCAGTTCTGGTCAGAAATAAGCAGAACATGGAAGTGCGCAGATCATTATTGTAATGCATGAACGTCGTTCAGGTAGGGAGGATACACTCTGCTTGCATCATGCCACCAGTGCACCTCTGCATTATCTGCTATGCTCGTTGCCTGCTGCATGTGTAGCACAGAAGCTGTCAGTGAATGACTCCCAGATAATGAATTTTAGGATAGAATCGCCTGAAATTGAAATGCAGAGTTGTTTTTACATTCTGCCTGTTTTTGTGTGATCAGGGCTCGGTCTCTTGACTTCATGCACAAAAACGGCACATCAGTGCACTGAGACACTGTCCTTGAAAGCGTAGATTATTGAGTTTAAAAATTTGATTTACTTATTCTACAGTTATCGTGAGTTTACTGAACTTATAGGATGTAAGCATAGGTGTCAAAATGAAAACTGAACTCTTTAGTGGAGCACAGAATTTATTCTTAAAAGAGTGTCATGGTTTTCTGTGCTTTGTAGTGTATGAGGAGTTTGTCTGTGTATTCTGCTGCTTTAGCATCTTTGAAAAGCAGCTTGTGAGCACATGGTTTGGAAATTTTGCATTATTCATAAATATTTTTATGCTAGACTTGCAAAGCAGGTGAGATGTCATAGCCGGCTAATAAAACTGGGTTATTAGGCTGGGATCAAAAAATGTTAATAGGAAACCTGCTGCAAAAGATTTTCACACCAGCCAGCTCATTAAACATCCTTCTGTAACAAGAACCTCAGAAGATTTGGTCTAGTTACTTTAACTTTCTACAAAACCGCATGGCCATTTTTAGCGCTTCCTTAATGGTGGTATTGCACATTTCATCTGTGGTTAAAATTTTTTAAAGTTTCAGCAAGAAATTTGGAACTTGTGTTTAGCTGATGGTCACTATGATCAGTTTTGCGATTTCAATATTCTTTAAAGACATAGCTGCATGGCGTTAGCATATTGACCTTTTGCTGCTTTAAGGAAATGGTTACTTGTCATCTGCATTTATTTTCTGCAGTTCTGTTTTTGATGGCATTATTTTGGTGTTCTTGTACTTATCATTGATGCTTGTCATCCTGCTCTTAATGCTGTTTTATTTTTCTCTCCCCCATTTTTGCTCTTTTTTTTTCCTTCTGTGCTCTTCGGCATGCTGCTGTTTCCTCCTATTTTCATTGGCCTGCGTGGATAGGCCGGTGTAGATGAAGATGCCATCCAGAAGGCCCCAGTACGTAGTAAAGCTGACTGCATCACAATTTTTCTTTCTTTTAAAAATTCTGCCAGGCTTTTCATAGCTGCCATCTTTGGAGCAGAGTCTGTGAAGATACTTGGACTCTCAGTTAAGGCTAGTCTAGTTGCTGTCTTGACTTTGAGAAACATGCAGCATTTAAATGAAGTCCAATCTTGTTTAACTGTCATTTTAATGAGATTTTTTTTTTTGAAGTTAACTTTATATGTACCATTATACTTTTTTTTCTGCTTGCTGTTCACTGATGCAATAGAACCGGGTTAAAAACAAGTTTGTACCTTTTATTTCCTTGTGATTTTTTATGATGGCCAGTTGTGGTTTATTCTCTTCATTTACTCTGCTCTTAGGTGGACAGCTGTGGTGGTCTGATATTTTTCTGCTTATGTGTGCCTTTTTGCAAGATTAGTGATCTAATTTTTTTTTAAATTAAATTTACATTGGTGTGCAATCAATATTTGTATCGCAATTCGGTATCCTTTGATGCTCATTTACCCGCCTATTGTTAACATCACAAATTACACGTTAAAGAACCCCAGGTGGTCGAAATTTCCGGAGCCCTCCACTACGGCGTCTCTCATAATCATATGGTGGTTTTGGGACGTTAAACTCCACAAATCAATCAATCAACATCACAAATTATGTGCTGCCACCACATATTGCACCTAACAGATGCCTTGCTGCACAGATAGTATTGTGGGCCTGCGACAAAGGCTTTTGTGCTGCTTGGACTGCGTCTTCTTGTCATCACCTGCACTTCCATGAGAGATTCAATGTGCATGTGAAGTAACTCGTTATATCGCCACATTTTCTCATGTGTCTGGGTTGGCTGCATGTTTGACCTTCAATTAATCTGAACATTTCCGCTGCTTTTGTCTATTCTTGAATGCTTCTAATATTGTGATGGTAGGTATTTTGCATGTTCTGGTAAAACGCTTCAAAGAATAATTGTTTGCTTAAAGAAAGACTGAGCATGACTTTATAAGCTATTCTTTTCAAGAATTTTGATACATACTTAATACAATCTTTTGCTAGTTCTACGCTCATTAGGAGTGAATGTTTTTTGAAAAATATGCCTCAGGCAGTTTGTATATGTGTCTCCCCCATCCCATGTAGTGTAACAATACAAGGCGATTTCGTACAAGAGGCTTGTTTTATTCATTACAGTAGGCCTTGTCAGAGCTTGATGCTTTTGTCGTGGTTTGATTACATTACATAGCTAGGCCAATATTACGTCTTCTAAAAGAGGTAAATGAGAAAATGCCTGTGAAAAAATAGGGCACTAGACACATGGCTTTTGCTTTGAATCAAGTCTCTCTCAAGTACTACACGCATGAGGCTGGCACTGAAGATGCTGTATCACTTCAGCATGCGAGAAAAAATAGAAGTAGAATCAAGTCCAGTTACATTCTGTTGTGATAAATATTGAAGGACCATGGGATCAAAACATGGCTTCCTTTGGAATCGTTCGACTGATCCACATCCCCAGAATAAAATTCCTTTGATGCCAACTTCAATCTAGTTCATCTTGGTGCATATGATTGCAGAGGCTTTTCATTAGGACTCTTTACATGGTTTTAACATCACTTCGTTGTGAATAGTTCAGATGTAATTTAGAGCTTGTGGTTTTGCAACAGGAGAATTGCTTTAGGGAGCCCAGGGTGACTTTCACTTGAAGCTTTTGAGTAGGGCTAGGGCTTTAACTTCATCATTGATTCTGTTTCAATGCTTCCCAGTTACAAATATGGTATAGTATGGCTTTTATAAAATGTGGAATAATGCAGCTTGTGTTGAATTTTAGCCAGTCAACAAAAATAGGTCAACAAGCTGCACATGTGGGATTTACTCATAATTTTGTAGCGTTATGACCAATTGCCAATAGTCGACATCCCTCTCTTTTGTCTTTATACAATATAAATTACAGTATAATTTATAGCATTTAAGACTCTTGTCCCACTACATTTATCCAAAACTTGCACACCCCTTAGTGCCTCAAGTTGCAAAGAAGCTAAAGCTGTTGCATCTTGTTCATAGTGCTGCTATAGGGGTTGTGGCTTTCTTGTGCTCTCAACTTGCCTATACTAAAGCTTTGCACTATCATGTGATGTCAGTTTCTGCATATGGCATGTCATTTTACATAAGTCAAGGGCACTGTCCTCATTTAGGAACCATATTCAGTAGTGCTGCAGTTTAGTTGCTAGCATTGGGGGGGATCGCATTTTCATTTCTGTGCACTGTAGTTAGTGCTTATTGATTTTTTCTATACGCTGCTTGTATTATTTAGAAGATATACCTCAGCATACTGAATTACCACATCTCAAGAAATCTCAAGCATGTTTTTATGGCAAAGTGCAGCTGTTTTTTTGCCTGATAAATTTTACCCATCTTCATTTCACAAGCTCAGTAAGTTCCGTTTGTGATCAACAGTGCTCTCACGAGGCCAGATAAAATATCAAAAGTTGTACTTGTGGACAGCATAAGTGACAAGCACAGAGTTATCTCTGATTTGCGCATAAAAATGTGGAGTTACTTGTTCCTATTTATAGTCTACAACATGGTTATAGCATTGTGAAGGTAATGTTGCTTTCTGAAATTTGTTTGCTTTTTTTCAGAAGATTATATCCACACAAATGACTGATCAGACAGATGTAACACAATTACGATATTTAAGACTATTTATGTTGAAGATTACAGGAAAAATTAAGGTGCACTAATGTTAACTTCCATCATCTTGTCAGCCTGGCAATGCTGGCATTATGTTAGGCTGCACTGGCAGGTGCAACATTGCAACATAATGTCAACATTGCCGCAAGGCTCCAGTGTAATATTTATTGTTGAATGTAAATAAAAATTAGACTGAAGACCTTTTTTCTTTCCAAGTCCTTAAGACTATATATATGTGTGTGTGTGTGTATATATATATATATATATATATATATATATATATATATATAGCTCTTTTCCTGCACTTTGCTTTCATATTGTTTTGTTTAGCTCATTGATTCACTACCTGTGTAATCCACTCAGAACTATAGCCGGGAAAGCAGAAAACGCAGTCATAGCTTGTAGTCGTTACATCTGCGATAGACTTAAAAATTTGTCGTACAGTAATGCTCATGCAAGGGCTTCAGTTCTTGTTCTCTATATAATGAAAATTTCGCCATTTGAGCTATTGACTTCTCACTCTTCAATGGCCAGTGAATACTATACTTCTGACTTGTGGTGCAGTTGACTCTCGGTAAACTGAAACCTTTTATTCAGTACCGCTGCTTAATTGGAACAACTACCTCTAACATTATTGGTTTCGTACTTGAATTCTGAACCCCTGCTCTTATCTCAGTAACGGAACTCCTGTGAAATGGAACGTCTTTTTCTGGTCCCTGTAAGCTCTATTAAACAGTCTACTGTATATCAGTTACAAGGCAACTAGAAGTGATGAGAAACTGTTCCATGGGAAATTGCACTGGGGCCAACATTTCGATACATGGGGTTATATCTCTGTCAAGGCAGCAACTGCCTCTACTTGCTGACTGGCAATGTTAATAGATATAGAGGTACAGAGCTGCGAAAATTGTTTTAGTTGTGTTAGATAGTTGGGTGCATATAAGCTCTGCTGAAATTGCTGCAGATTAAATGTGGTAGAGGAGGGTTTTCCACTTAAAAACCCAGTGCCAGAAAGGCATTGAATCCATGCATTGCATGATGCTTGTTTAATTGTACTACTTTTGTAGGTCTGTCTTTATATCTTGGATGTCTCAAATGGAAGTTTGTTTTAAGATATGACATAATGGAGAGTCTGAACATTTGCCCTTATAATTTGATTTTGAATATCATAAGCCCATCTGATCCACCTTACGAGAGTTCTAAATGCAGTTACTTTCTGTTAATTCATGTTTGACCGTATGAATGCACCAGTGATCTTGATGTATTTGCAGCTGTTGTGCTAATTTTTTGTATTTGAATTCAGGCTGCTAGCTTTCTGTACTAATGTTTGGCTGGAGTTATGCAGCTACATTGCTTTTTACTTTCCTACTGCATGAAGCAACTAGTTAATAGAAAGGTAACTAAACAGCCTACTGTACTATTCTCTAGAGATCACTGCACTCTCCTTGTACTTTGCATTTTTGGTAAATGCTGGTACAGCTGTTCCTCACTTTCCTTAATATGCTTCATTATTCAGTGCTTTCAAGTTTTTCTTGAAGCTTAAAAGCCTGACCTCGCGTAACCGTTGCAGCGTGCCGGCACATGTCTTTTTGACGCCGCGCCAAGCCCTCTCCCATATGGAGAGAGAAAGCACGCAGCTTGGCGTAGCTATGTGCCCACTCTCTCTATAGAGAGAGGGTGTGGTGCCACGCCAAAAAGCCACGTGCCGATGGGCTGCAACAGATACACGAGGTCAGGCCTTAAATGGCCAGTATGTTTATTACTGTACAAAACATAATTATCTTATTGGCTTAATGTGCCACATATATTATTAGTAGTAGGAATATTCTGTAATGATGTCTTAGAATTCTTTGTTCACTGGTATCTTTAAAATCAAAAAGATGCTGAAGGAAAAAATTTATTTGCATCTGTTAGTGAGCCAGAAAAGCAAGAAAAGGATAGGCAGATGGTAGTCATCTTGAAGTTTGAAGTTCCCAAGCTAGCTGACTGCGACAACACGAATTAGTCGGGTGTTCAGACTAAGTTTTATTTTAGACTAAGGCAGTCTAAATTGCCTTAGTGTTCCTCTTGACTGTCACGTTCAGGCATAAGGAGTACTATAGCAATCTATGAACTTTAGCTGCTAACTTGTAGTTCACTCACACTGATGAAGATATAGATTTAGCAGACCATGGTGCTCTGGATAGATCAAACAGCCTCTTTAAAGATGTGCAGTTAGACAAAGTAGTTAGCAGAGTAGGAATAATAAATCTCAACCTTCAGAGGTTTATTGCTCCGAAATTTTGCTTTTTTGTGTGTATGTGCAATCAGCTTAGTTTTGGTTTCGGGTTTGGGGCTCTGTCCAGCTACTAGACAATGACCACGTGGGTCGGTCATACCAGAGCATTGCTGTCAAAGAGAGTGTGGGACCGAGTGCCAGCGGTGTCTGGACCTCTATGGAAGGCACAGTGGTGTCTGGGGGAGCGGCACCTTCGGCTGGAGGGGCCAGTGTAACCGCTGGCTGTGGAGCCGAGGATGACACAGTAGCAGGCAGCATGCCTGACCGGGGCCCCGGTAGCCGCCAGCTTGTGCTCCTCATGGTACTGCAGGGTTGCAGACTCCTGACACGTGGCAGCTACGTGGTCACCCTCATAATGATGATGGCCTGGAGCATCACTTACCACTCATGGCTCACATTTGTGCTGTTGCTGTGGTCTTGTGTGCTCTGGATGATGCCCTGGTAAGAGGTTTTCCACTTCTTTTTTTTTTTTCTTCCGAGAAGGAGGGAGGGGGGCAACGCTTATTAAACTTGCATATGCACTTAATATGATGTGATACATATTACTAATGCACACAGTATTGTTGATTGACAACAACATGCATTCTGTCACAATTAGTTTTAAATATACATCTTAAAGCTACAATTCAAATACCCAAAGCAGCTCAACTGCACCTTAAGTTGGCAACAGTGTTGCTATTTGTTTTCAAGAGTGGTTGTCACATAGCTGAAATATGTACATCATACCTCAAGTAAGCTTGTTAAGTTTGCCACAAGATTTCAGCGCTATATTTTAAATGGTGATAAAATTTTTGACATGCTTGCCATTAAATGAATTTAAAATATTAGGACTGACATGTTATTGACGAATGTATCATGTGGGCTCTGAGATGAACTACAAAGGGACAGAGTCATAGCAGCATAGTGCTCTGGGGCTCTTAATCATACAACTAGGCTGAAGCACACCCTGGCACAGCGAGTTGATGTGATAACTTGATCTGTGACGTTTTTTTATGAGCACTTAGTTTCAATAAAAATAAATTTTCTCGGAACTGTCATAAGGTTTTCCAGAAAATTTGCAAGTGTGCTCTTTAAAGTTACGTTTAAAACAATTCCCAATATTGGTCACCTTGGTTGCTTATATTGTGAATTGTTTGATAAAAAAACATAGGACTGATAGTGTCATGGCCTTCTGTGTAATCTTATTACTGTGTGTACATCAATCATGCAAGCTCCCGATTGGCCTGCTTGCGATCGTCACCTGCATTGGTGGCCTATGCGGAGCTCTTGCTGCTGCTTCAGTACCTGTACAGTCTGGACTTGACTGATCAGGAGCTGCCACAGCAGGTGAATGCAGTCAACCTGGCCCAAGTGGGCCTGTTCAAGTATGGCTACAACTCGTACCAGCCTCTAGCTGTCAAGGTTAGTGAACTGTGAACTTCTTACTGTAACATACACTGCATGAAGGACTTGTGCTACAGAGGAATGCATTTTGGAGATGAGCTGAAGCTTGATACTTGAATGCAAGATAAGCTTCAGAAAAGTAATCATATATTCAGTCGGTTCTTGCTGCACTCTATCTAGGATCACAATGATGTGGAGCCCACTCTTGATCAGAGCCATAAAAAAACATTTTCATTTCAACAAGCTAAATTATAAAAATGATTCTTGCAGGTGATGACTTACTGTGCACCCATTGGTAGCGTGATGCTAAAATGGAAATGTATACAGATTTCTTGGATAGCTTCACAGATAGGAAAAAAATTTGTTTTGGTGTGAGATTCAAATCCAGATTTACCCTTGTTAGTAGCTTCATGTTACAAATTGCTGGATACCTAATATTCCCTTTCATCAACCGTCATCCATGTTGTGGGCTTCTGTCGAGCTAATTTTGCATAAAAATAATTCTACTGTAGCATAAAATAAAGCACTGACTGAAAATAAAATTGATTTCATTCTGACTTTCTTCCAAATGCGTAATGGTGGTGCTGTGTGAAGTATATGTAGTTTTCACAGTGTGTGACATCTCCCCCATATTTAGTCACTGTGTGCTGACTAAATCATGCTGGATTGCATTGCAGCCATGAACTAGTATTGCCATGTCAGTTGTGGAAAAGTAAGGTTAACCAGCTGGAAAAACATTGAGCATTCATGCTGCCTTTATCATCATAGGGTGTCATTTGCTTCAAACTAGTGTCTTGAACACTCTAGAAATGGAGAGTTCAAGACAAAAGTTTAGGCTACATTAGTGAAAGTACAAATTTACATTTTGACAGTTGTATGCAATACCTATTAGCACTGCAATACTGAGCAGTTCCAGCAGAGCCACTCTCTGCCTAGAGTTGTATGCAGCTGGCTCTCTTAGTGCTTTTTTTTTTGTGACAGATGCTGTACACAATCATGTTCTGGATCACATTACGACAGTATGTGGAGCACCAACGCACACCTCCTACACTTGGTGTGGGTGAGTGATAAACATGAACTAAGCAATGTCTTGGTTATGGTAAATTATAGGTTAACATTAAGCATGGCCCCTTACATCATCTATATTGCATTGGGGTGCTTGCACCCCCTGGAAAGCTGTTTTTGCCTCGCGACACTCAGGAGTCCTGCTGACCAGCTTCACCATAGTGCATTAATGGAATAACTTCACAGCGCTTAAAGACAAAGACAGATACAAAAGCAGACAACACGAGTACTGACCTGAAATTGAAATAGTTACAAAAAAGAAAAAGCAAAAAATAAAACCACGTTGGAAAGCCCACATGTGCACACACTGATGCAAATGGCTCACAAAAACAACTGAGATGCTGTGGTATCACACAAGAATTTCGCAGTGGATTATATTTTGCCATCCAGACTCTGTGAAGGTTGGCTGACGCATGCCTCGCTTTTTTCTTTTATTGGAAGGGTTCCTACAGTTTCACATATTTTGTCTGAAAATGTCAGAAGTGTCGGATAGTGCAAGTTCACATCTGCAATCATGGCAATCGCTGTGATTGCAATTGTGGGAGCATATGAATAAGTTCACTAAACGAGCAAGGTTTCTGTGGTGGTTTTCATAACAGCATTGTTCACAATGCATATGAAAGGCAGGAATCCAGCCAGGCCATGTGGCATGCTTCCTTGTACAGGCTATTTAGTAGTAAAAGCTCAAGTTGTAGTGGTCTTTGGCTGCATTTTTGTATTGTTTTTGGTAAGTAAACTCTGTAGGAAAAGGGTGAATGGAGCAGGGGCACTTGGAGCCACTGCAGTCAAGGGTGCCGGTGTGCTCTTGTGTGTAAAAGAAGAGGCTACATGTTTCAGTGATAATTTTATGTAGGACGTCTTTTTATCCACTTCAGCACAAGTATGAAATTTTCCTCAGTCATGATTATTTTGTGCACACTTGAAAGGCCTACTGCAGGGAAATTATGAACCACTTGAAGTATGTGTGCATGCATCACAATAATCTGTCAAAAAGTGTATTAATGGTTTAAATACCAAAAAAAAAAGAAATGCTGTGTTTGTCATTTGCCAAAAATGGCACAGAGCCCAAAACATTAAAAGCTGCACAAAATGGCACCGAACCAAAACATTGAGAACTGCACAGGAGTGACCTCCAAAATTGGGTGGCATTAGCTGTGTACTTAAAAAAAACAACTATAAAAAAGGCCTATTTTATTTTTCATAAATATTTGTGGTTGCACTTGCTTATATTGAACTAGAAGAAAGAAAAAAAAAAAAAGCTTGTCACTGTCATTGTTGTAAGATCGTTATTCCTCACCTTCATGCTACTCGGCATCCCCTGAAGTCACGTCCTCAGACTTGCACTTGTTCCAGAAATGTTCTTTCTTCATTTTATGAAGCTTACTGGATATTTTCGGTACTTTTAGTATTTTCTTCAGTCTTAAAGAAAAGGTGTCTCTTATGTACTAGCGAAGCGAGTTTTCTACCTACAGGAATATGCTCTGCTTGCCTTGAAAAGCGCAGCTCTGCACATTTGTTTTCCTTAGTATGTCTTCGTGGGAGCACGCACACCTACAGTTTTTATCAATAACTAACTTCCAACCAGTCACTCTTTTTCTATTTTCTGTGGAAAAGTTTTACATACAGGGTGTTGGTAGAAATGGGATTGAATATTTTTGTCTATTTCCATAGCATGTCACCTGTTAGCAATAACAAATGGTGGCGCCCTAGTTATAGCAGTGTCATGGAGACAGCCATGAAATATTTGAGGCTGTGATTTTCTACTGCATGTGCAGAAAACTTGTCTTGATCGCCTTATTTTGCTGAATACTATCAAAATCGAAACAAAAAAAGCTTTGGAATTCTTGTTCATGCAAGGAATGGTACTGCCGACATTACAAAAATCGGAAATGGGGTTTTTGCATGGGAAGTAAATATATTTGTCGAGGGTAATTTTTTTTCCGCAAAGTTTTGGGTGTAGCTTTTATGCAGGTGCAGTCATACATTTGTATATAGGCCAAATTTTGCTCTTGTAAGCTGTTAATGGTAAGAAACAGTTTTTTTCATCTTAAAACTTTCAAGTTTTTCAAATTCAATAGTAGCATGCTAAAGAGTACGAAGTTAATGTGTTCTGTGGTGTTTCTTGCACTCAAGGAACAAAGGACACAATATGTATTTGTGCAATATTGGAAAAGGGCATTTATATAGTGAACCTTTTTTTTTTTATAAGAAGCCAGCTAGCTGAATAATAGAATCAGTGTAGCATGTGGATAGAATAGATTATAGAATTGAAAACGTTCAAAATGTTCAGCCCTGCCAGAAACAATGTCTATGGTTCATTGGTGAAGTCTCGTGAATGGAAGTGTATTCAAGGTCAGAAGAAAATGCCCATTGGGCAACCAGTCTCATTGAGGTCTCTGCCAACCACACAATGTTTTTTACGCTGCTCATGTATGACCAATTAATGAAAATTAACATTTTGTCATAGTTGAAATTTCAGAGCCTCAAATGCACGATTTCTCTTGCAGAGTTTCGGCGGCAGATGAGCATGGGTGCATCAAGTCTTGGCGTGGGCACTCAGCTGTATGTGCGTCGGTTGGGTAACTTAGTGCAGCAGTGGCTGACTCGCTATTGGATCTGGGTGGTGGCTACTATGTTGATGGTAATCTCCCTGGGTGGCACTGAGGTGGTACTCTATCGCATCGCCTACATGTTGCTTTTCTTGTTCTTCATCCTCGTCTTCCAGGTAAGTGTGGCTTAATTGTGACCAAGTTCCTGTGGAGTGGTAATTATTGAATAGTAAATGCTGCTAGAGCCAATATTCTAACAAAAGGACTTTTTCACTAAAATGGCTTAAACGACATTTCCTATTCAATGGCTTCTCATCACTTCAAGCTTCCATGTTCACCTGAACTTGTTTAGATTTCAATTCGTATCAGGCATATTAAAGAGACAGTAAAGAAAAACTGTATAGAATGGCATGACTGCTCCATTACACTCACAATTTATAATTTACCAGAAAAGATAGAAAAATTAAGATTTTGTGGAAATCCGGCACCAGCTTTAGTTCTGCGAGGTCTTGCACAATCTGCTGGTTTATTCCTTACAGCATGAAAAGAACCATATTACATTAATGTAGACATTTTTTTTCCATTTTGGAGTACAACATCCGCCTTAATCTAATGTATCTGAGTTAAATGCTATCGAATTTGATCATCAGAAAAAAAAGTATACTATACAAGCATTTTGATTTGTATGTAGAAATACATTCTCCATGCTTCTGCAAATCATGCACAAGCAGTTCAGCTGCTTGAGTCACTCATTAGGGTTTGCATTTTTCTTTTCATCATTTTTAGGCCTACAAGTTTTGAGATCTTCAGCAGTTTCTAGCACAGGGGAAAAGAGTTCAAAAAACGTATATGGGTGTTCAAACTTGTGCATATTTTTTACAAGATGTACAATGGATATGAAGAGGATTCTGCTGAGCCAATCTATCCTGCCTAGTGTTGTAGTCAATAACATATAAGTCAATCACTAATTACACTGTATAGCCCAGGTAATGTTAAATTATAGCACTTTTTTTAATACTAACCTTCATACTTTTTCTTTTGTATGTTTATTAACACTCCTTTATTTATGTTAATGCCTTTTTCTCTTGGCCAAAAAAAATTAATATTCTTTAATATTCATGTTCATATACCATATACACTTATGTAAAAGACGCTCTTTTTTATCCACAATTTTGATGGGGTGTGCCCCTTCTATATAAATGTGAAATTCTGTTTTTGATCCATGTGCGGAAAAATATATTTAATTGTGCCATAAATAACAAATTATGGGATATCTGGCGTCTAGCTGTGAATATCTTTGCGAGATGTCTTCATCAGTATTCCTGCACAGGCTCGGCTCATCGCAGCTGCTCGGGTCATCCGTCATATAACCACTCGTCCTCAGTATTGTCTATCGCATTGGAAATACCACTGACCTTAAAATACTTTGCAATAATGTCTGTGGACACACCAGACGTTTAGAATTCAAGAGCAGACCAGCTGAAGTATTGTCGTCCTTAGTTGTCTGATTGGAGATTTCTCCTGGTGGCCTGCTGCCATACATTCAAGAGTTCTGGCATCTGAATTCTGCCTTAAACGGCTATTAATAGACAGATCCAGTGGTTACAGCATGTTTGTTAGACCACCGAGGACGACCGCCAGAGGCGTATGAGCTTCTGCAAGACAAGCCTTCACACGGTGGCTCCCGTGAAATGCGCCATACGCGAAATATGATGCCACTGCTGTTTGCTGTTTTTTTTTTTATAAAATTTCGACTGCCGAGTTGGGGGGAGTGGTACTTACACGAGTGCAGCCCTTAGTCCAATGTATATAGTATGCATATAATACCAGTTAAAGCTTGTTAGTACCTGCCAGCTCGTTGCACTCATGTTTTTTTTTCACACCCCATGATTTCTGTGGGAACTTCCTTGTGCAAGTTCGATTAGAAAAGGATTCATCATTATCGAGGACAGTATTATGGTAGTCTTTGCTATGTCTAGGGCAGTAAGAAAGTCATAGAGTGAGATTCTCCGATTGTGAAATAAATTTTATGTTGTCAGTTACCAAATCACTGACACCGTGAATCTCGAGGTTAGTACACCTGGCAGCAAAAGCTTACGGGACAAGCATTCCACTGTTAATTCAAATTTCTGTGCATGGTGCTTCTAAGCTATCTGTTAACTGTGTAGGTCACAAGAACTACTATAAACTGGAGTATTTATTTGGAAGCTATGTTCCCAGACAAAATGGTATCAGAGAATTGTGAAAAATTTTGCATCCTGTAATCTTTTGCCGCTAGCTGCGCATCATCTGCCACTACATTATCAAGCATTATCAACCAGTAGGTTTTGTGATGACAGGTATATGCCAAAATATTGTCAATGTTTCGTTAAGTTCTCTTCATGGGACAGGAAAGCAGTGTATCTATATATACAGGGTGTTTCAGCTAACTAGCACCAAGTATTAAAAAAAAAAATAAACGTAGGCTCTATGTGTCTAAAATTAGTGCAGCATTCTTGTGAACCATGTAGAACACGTCAAGATATGTTTTCCAGTTCACCTAGAATGTTAGTTAAGATTGCTTAATGAAAATTTTTTATAGTTACCCTAGCAAAAAATCTTCAGTACAAAAGTTGTTGCGATGATTCGGAAACATCAGGTTTTTTCATCAGTGCAAAGATAATCTTCTACTTCAATTTTTTTTCTACCTTTACCTTTCTTTAAAGCGTGCTAATTAAAAAAAAATATCGCGTGACCGCTGCATAATGCAGCAACGCCTTTAGTGCTCCCACGCGGAACTTGAACGAATTATGAAAGGCTGCTCCACACACTGAGATCGATTGAACATGCTACTGGTGACTGCAATGGACATTATTAAGTGATGATAAAGGCATGCCATCTGAAAAAGTTAAAAAATTACGAAAAAGTGGCTGTCAAGTGTGAATGATTCATTTATCTTCATCCTTCATTACAAGGTCACCCTTGAATTGAATTGTGGGGTTTAACGTCCCAAAACCACCATATGATTATGAGAGACGCCGTAGTGGAGGGCTCCGGAAATTTCGGCCACCTGGGGTTCTTTAACGTGCACCGAAATCTGAGCACACGGGCCTACAACATTTCCGCCTCCATCGGAAATGCAGCTGCCGCAGCCGGGATTTGATCCCGCGACCTACGGGTTAGCAGCCGAGTACCTTAGCCACTAGACCACCGCGGCGGGGCACAAGGTCACCCTTGCCTCATGCATAGTGTTTCTTCATTGGTGGAAAAAAAAAAATAGTCTCGTATGGCATTTGCTCGGGGCTGGCACTTTTATAGAAAAGAATTTTAATGCGGTAGCATTAAAGAGCTCGTTTCACAGAAATTCCGGCGTCTGTGTTGGCGTCATTGATTGTGAGCGAAAAATTACCTTTGCATGACCGAATTATCGAGAAAGATGCAAATAAAACAAATAATAAAAAAATTCTGAGTATGAGTGGCGATCGAAGCCAGGTCGCTTGCATAGCAAGCAGGTGTTCTACCACACAGCCACGCCTCGACTTGTCAATACCATGAAAATAACTTGCTCTGCTTGGAAGTGCAGTAGAAGTAGCTTTCATGCTTTATAAACGCATGTGTTCTGTATACATGCTTTGCAATGGGAGACCAGCACTGGATAGATGGCGCGCCGAAAAAGAGCACCTGGCAGATTGTTGTGACGACTGGCCGCAGTGTACCGCTGGGAGAGCACGCACGTGGGCTGCTGCTGTGCTTCATTTCGGAACTAACAGCTCGAAAAGCTGTTGCGTTAGTAATACTGCTCTGTGGTTTAGAAAAATAACTTTTCCGATGGCTACTCTCGTATAAAAGGATAGTGCTACTACACTGCCAACATCTGCAGTAAAACAAAACAAAAACAAAAGCAGAGTAAACGGTAGCTGCGTCAATTTTTTTTTTTCTGGCATCGTTTGTACGCCCTGTCCGCGATATGTATGCACGGGGACGTTTATCAAGCAACCCACCGTGGCAGCATAGCAGGTGTGGTGTTGCGCTGCTATTCTTGAGGGCGCAGGATAGATTAGCGGCCACGGCGGCCGTACTTTGATGGGGATGAAATATAAAAAGAACACCTGTGAACCGAGATATGTACGCATTGGAGAACCCCAAGCAGTCACAATCTTGATATGCACACTACAGCATACCTCAAAATTATCTTGTTTGGCACATGAAAGCCTAGCAGTTATCGATGTGGAACAGACACCTTCATTTTAGGTCGACACAGGCAAGCAGGAAAACTGAAATTGTCTGTTAGGTTAACTAAATAAATGAGTAAAAATCGAAGACATTTGACACTTCTCGCAAGGCATAAATTCCGATGTTACTTAGCCACGGCAGCCAGTGAGAAAAAACCCTACCGCATCGGCTGACTCCAGAAAGCTAAGCTTCGAGTAGTCCGCTGCTTTGTTCGTAACAACAAGCCTGTCTTTTGCACTATTTAAGCTAAACAGAGGCATCTCGGCATCAAGTGCTCATCACGAAAGTATCTTTTATTACAATTCAGAGGCGGAGGCGAATGTGCCTGCACACAAATCTTCTGGACAAGGCAGCTTGCCTTTACACGCAACTGTTTAATAAATTAACTACCTGCCTATCGTATCATTCACTTCACGCAGTGGCATCTGATGGATTTTGGTAGCGGTGGCAGATGGATGGATGAATGAGAAACTTTGTTAGTCCTGAGATAGGGGCAAGACTCAACGCTTAGCAGGCCAGATTAAAAAAAAAAAAAAGTTTACATATGCTGTATGTTGCATAGGTAATACGCTCCTTTTATTTCCGGCAATGCACCGTTTAAATTCGACTGTTTGGGCCTGGTTTCCACTGGTGGCTGTCCTCACTATCGAATAAATATAGCAGACACATGCCATTCGGTTTAGAAACGAGCCCAACAGCACTAGACAGGAGAGCAAGAGCATAACATACTTTGCTCGCTTGACTGCTTGCATGCAATGCCGCCTCCTCATTCAATGTCCTCCCTTTTCTCTAAACATCCTCCCTTTTTCTACATATTGTTGCACTTTAATACGCAGCAGTACCACTAGCATCTTTTGGTTTTTATTATGATGATGCGCGTCTGCACCGTCTCTACCAGCCGCCACTCTCGTCTGCGGGAGGCTCAGAAGTGTGCACTTTGACCGCCAAAGCGGCCATGGAAACTCCAGCCCTTGTTCCCCATACAACATGAGATATTGTCGTAATAATGCGTGGTACAAGCGTACATTGCCATAAGGCATCAGAACATGAGATTATCATAATGGCATCATTGTTTAAAGCCGTTCACCCACTACAAAAGGTGCACATGCTACTGCACCCTTAAGGTCACGTAGTGGGTGCATAGCAAATTCAAAAAGATTTCATACACTACGTGTTTGAAGTATGCACTAGAAACAAAATATCGCTATTGCGTTCAACTTTTAAAGGAGAAGCCTAAGGGTCCTCCCCCCCCTTTTTTTCTCTCTCTGATATAGTTCACCCCTTTTGTCGGTTAACATTCATGCCACAGTCACCAATGACCTTTTCAATGTACCTTTGTATGCAGAGCAGCCTTTGTTAAATCATTCAACTTGCATGTGGAGGCAGTGAAACCAATGTGCACTAGATGGCAATTACATGGTATTTTTTGAAATTAGTGTGCTTTCAAAATTGGCTGGAAAAAATATCTACTAGTGGAGTTATCTTAGCATAGATAATGTTTCTAAACCAGTGATAAAAATTTTGTATTAAATTTTCAGCTAAAGTTACTATTTAGCAAATTTATTAGGCAACCTTTGTTGCCCCACAATGGTGGTCTAGTGGTTATGGCGCTCGACTGCTGACTTGGAGGTTGGGAGTTCAAATTCCAGCTGCAGTGGCTGCATTTTCAATGGAGGCACAAATGTTTGAGGCCCGTTTACTTAGATTTAGGTGTACATTAAAGAACTCCAGGTGATCAAAATTTTCAGAATAGCCTTGCCGCAGTGGTCTAGTGGCTAAGGTACTCGCTGACCCGCAGGTCGCGGGATTGAATCCCGGCTTCGGCGACGGCATTTCCGATAGAGGCGGAAATGTTGTAGGCCCGTGTGCTCAGATTTGGGTGCACGTTAAAGAACCCCAGGTGGTAAAAATAAAGAACCCCAGGTCTCTCATAATCATATGGTGGTTTTGGGATGTTAAACCCCACATACCAATAAATCGAAATTTTCCAAACACTCCACTACGGCGTCTCTCATCATCATATTGTGGTTTTGGTACGTAAGACCCCACATATTATTAATATTAAGCAACCTTAGTTAATTATCAAGCTTGGCATATTAGAAAAATCTTCTGACATGCTCTAGATGGCTCAAAACTATAGTGCACTAATTCGAGATGCGTAGTGCCCAAGTTTGGTTCTTCAATACTTGGTGCTTGTGAACTGAAACATCCTGTATCTAGGCAGCTTGCATTGGTTGTGGTGGCATATGTACATTTTCTTAGTTAGCTGGGGGGAATTAAGCAGTCCCTTTTATTATAGTCACACTCCCTCCTATTTCTTCATTGCGATAGCAATTGCAGGAAGATTTACAGAAATATCTTTTTGTCGCTGTGATTTCTTATAGGAGGTCCTATTGTAATGAGACTTTGTCTCGATTTGCGTGGAATTGAGTGTCCCTAAAAAAAGTGTGCGCACTCTTCCCATGTGCGTGCAGGGAGAGGAAATATGACCATTAATTTCCTTTTGTAGTTACTGCTGTGTGCTATTTTGCACAGCTGAGTGAATAGGTGATTGCACTCTATATAACAGGTAGTCTGCGGCAGCTGCTAGGGCTGAGTGAGCTGAGTTAGTTGTTTCCTTCACGTGCGCGGTCTTCCTTCATGCTTGTTGTTAAATGTAACATTTGCTTACCTTTGTCTGGTGCTGTGTATCATGGCAGCATTGAAACAGCCAGTGTTTGCAGCTATCGAGGGTCATGTTTTTTTTCTTGTGCACATGGGACTCCATGCTTGTTAGTATAATCAGCAAGAGTGGCCTATACAGTTTCAAACATTAGGGGCAGTTGTCTAATGCACTAGGTATTGGTAATATTGCTTCACCTTTTAAAAGGGTCTTGAATCATTTTCTATAAATTTTCAGTTATGTGTGTATTCAGAATCCTGGCTGTCCATTCAATACTATACCTAAACTCGTTTCATCGTCTGGGTTTATTTAACAGCTATAAAAGCACGATTTCGATTCTCTGCTTACATTCCCATCAACTGTACAGCTGATGTCATTTTAAATGAGGCAATAAAAAGCCTCCGTTGTCCAGAAAACATGACAATGCAGCGATGTTTGCTGAGCCATAGTTGACAGAGGTTCGTAACACTTTATATTATCTATATTGCAGCGCCATAAAGCCGTCACGAATGTTGTTTCCACTTTGATAAGTTGCGTGGCACTGACAACACGCACAGGCATAGCAAGAAATAAGCCCCCCAAAGTACGTTGTACAGCACAACCTAACACAACGACTAAGAACAACACTAGGACACTGCACTGAGCAAGCGAAGGCATGACGTGACTGAGCCCAGATGTACTTGAAAGTGGAACCAAGCAGACCACTCGCTCTACTTCCACAGTATACACAGCTCAGAGGGCAAGAACTGCTGTGCGATTTTTTTTCCTAGGTTCCCATAAATCTATTCTTTCGGAAAAAAGAAAGCTAACACTCTGTAACTTCTCTTACTGGGTTGTTTCACTGACGTCACATATTAGTGGCTATGGTGGACAGTAGTGCCGCACGATCACTTAGGAGCCCAAGAGAACTCCGATTTCAAACCGATGTCATTAATTATAGACTGGATATTGCACCAAAATATTTTGGAATCGACATGTATAATTCCAACTGAAGGAGGAAAAATTGCAACCAATCAGCTTCATTTTTGTTTCACGGCCTCTTTAAAATAAAAGCATGTATACCCCAACCTGCCTATGTTGAACACTCCTCCTTACTTATAAAACTCTTTTGTCTTAAGTATTAAGTAGCTTGCTTTTCTAGCATGTTTCTTTCAGTACTGAGATGTGCAAGATAAGGAGGAGGTTGAATGTGGTGACGTGCTTCTGCTATTGCTTCTGGCTGATGCAATAGCCAGTCTTGTCCAGAATATGATTGGACTTGGAGATATTAACTAAAAAAATGTAACAGGGTTCGAACTTCGTGGAGGAAGTTTTACATATAAATAAATCTGCCTTATGTGGTAGCTAATTAATGTTAAGTGCAATATTTGATTTTGATCAGTACTGATAGTTATTGTGCAGGAGCTCTGCACATTGACAAGCACACGGTTACACTCTTTGAATGCTATTTCCTAAAGTATAATTCTTTTTTGAGACAGTATTCTCTGTTTGTGTCAGAAATTGGCTGAGGAGGTATTCACTGCTTCAAAAATGCCCTGATAGCATTGTGCCAGCATGCTCCTATGTGTGGAATCATCTAGTTAAAGACACTCCAAAATTAGAATCTCGTTGCTCCAAAAACTTCTCTAAATCGCAAGTCCTCAATAGCATCACTGTTAATATCCATTACATTGAATTGCATTGGCATGATCCATGACCGTTCTATGTTTTTCCCTTTTTTTATGAATACTTTTTTTCTTCTTGAGCTTAGTTCAAGTCAAAGTGCACTTCTTGAGCTTAGATAGTCAAAGTGCACCTATCAAAAGACTACAGTTGGGAAGAGATTCTGATCGAGTGCTTGTTTTGTATTCTTAGTGGGGAGCACTTTAGGGGCCTAACTAGTCGTCATCCATGCATCTCACGCAACTCGCCATAAAGTGCTTACTACAGGCCATAACGAGGCTAGCAATGCTTAAAACATGATTAAATTGAATAAACTAGGTCTAAAATATTGTAAATAACATAAATAGCCAATAATTAATGCAAGAGTTAACTTAAGATTGCTAAGGAAGTTTCCAAAGTTTGCGGCTGACTTCGGCGGTGCGCAAGAGAGAGCAGCACTGCTCTCCCCCAAGTAAGAAAGCACCCCTTCCCCAGCGCTTCACCGGCGCTTCATCGCTACATCTTGAGGGGAATTCAACGCCACGGAACTCGCTGCAAATGATGCATGTCTCAATTGCCATGTAGTAATTTGATCAAGCGCAGCAAAAAGTAGCACACATACCACACACAGTTTTCGATTCTCCCGAACTGAATTCTACTCATTTCGAGAAAAGCCTACATGCTTACCTCAAACATTGGCCTCATCGATGTTTTCGTAAACAAAGCAGTGCAAGCTCTACCAACTGGAATCGCTGGATGCCCATGCTACGCACTTGCTCGGGTTTCACGATAGTGGAGCTGCCATGCGTCTTTTGTTTCTTTCATTCCCTCTGTGCTTTTACAAGCTAAACAAGTAACTTGCTTTATGAGGCTAAGTAAAGACTTTTGCATAATACTTGCACTGGCAATGAGCACAATCCTCTTTTTCTTTTTTTTTTTGCCAGCATATAAACTTTTTTTTTAATTCGTATGCATACCGTGATCCTTCTGCTTTGCAGGTCTCATACCAGCTATGGATAAAAGTCATGTATGGCTTCTGGTTGACAGTGATCATCTATTCAATGCTGGTGTTGATTCTTATATACACATACCAGTTCGAGAAGTTTCCATACTATTGGGAAGCTTATTTGCACATACCTAAAGAAATGTAAGTATTTTTCTTTTAATGGTATTTTTTTATTGGTGAGCTCAAATTACACTTTTTCAAAACCTGATTATCGGGGAGGTGGTGCATAGATTTTTGGAACATTGAGTTTTCATTCACATGGAATGTCGTATGTCTCACATTCTATGTGAATGTCTATGTTTGCATGTTGATTTTCTCTAAGTAGCATTAAAGGTTCACATTTATATGCATTGATGTGTGAATAGATTCATTGGTTTTTGTTGAGCTAGAGCTAATGATTCACATGCATTTACAATCGTAAATTGTACTAACATGGCATCTGGGATCAGCTTGTGGCAGAATTCAGGAGTACAACACCTGCACGAATTGCGGCAATTTGATACAATCTATTATTTTTGTGTGGACCGGCACCAAAATCTTGAAATTTGTAGAAATTGCGCTACCCTGCCCCTAAATGCCCGACCAGTCTCAAAATGTTCGCAGTTACGCTACTTTCGACGAGAAATTGAGGCTACATTGGCCACCTGTAGTTGGCGTCATCAATCAATGCAGGGATCCAGGCACTCGGAACCTATCCCTAAACTACAGAGTAATATATATATACTCATTAGGCCAGGACACTTGTGAAAGTTTATTGACCAGACGAAGTAACAACAGGGCACACCCATCGGTCCGCTGGCCACAGCGGATATTTATCAGCAGGACGACACAACTTCAAGACAAAAATTTGTTGCCATAGCTAGCAACACTTTACGGAAAATATGAATTTTCTAGTCGACAAATGCGGCTATTACATGTTTGGAACAAAAGCTTAAGGCGTATATCGCCGTTACTGCGCACGAACAAGCTCAACGTGCTGTGAACGCGGTCTTTGCGGGCGACCATGTTAGTTGCCATAGGAATGTCACATGCAATAGATATCTAGCGCAGTCCCTTTGCAAACAGGGGCATGCTTTTGTTACATTATCTAGTCAAACGAGTCTTGCAAGTGAGCCAAAAAGTTGTGCCATAAACCTAATTTCAACGTGAAAAAAAAGGGGGGAAAGGGGGGGAGCGGTTCAGAAATGTTTTGATCTCGTACTAACCTGTGCAGAATGTTGCTTAAACCACTTTCGCCGCACTACACCAGTGGCCTGCCCAAAAGCGTTTTATGGAAGGGGCTGTTAACACTGGTCACAGGACATAGCAGAATACGTTCAATAATTCATTTGTGTATATGTCGCATACTTATAATTACTAATATGATTGCTGACATCTAAAACAGTTACTGGAAATAATTTGGGGCACTGTATAACATTTCTGCAGCCCTAATAAAAATCTACAAAACTGCACCAGTTTTTTTTTTTGCCACCCCTATTCCTCAGTTTTACGAATCTCCCAAATCTCAAGGTCACCAGCTTGGCAGATCCACATTTTAATCCTCAGAGTTTGTTGAAGGATTTGACAGGAGTGGCAAAGGCTAATGTAAAGTTTATCATTGTTTGCTGAGTGGGTGGTTCAAAATACTACTTTTATTGAAATAGCAGTGCTCATATTAACTATGTGCGATTTGACCTCACCGCAGTGGTCTATTGGCTAAGGTACTCGGCTGCTGACCCGCAGGGCACTGGATCGAATCCCGGCTGCAGCGGCTGCATTTTAGATGGAGGCGTAAATGCTGTAGGCTCGTGTGCTCAGATTTGGGTGCACGTTAAAGAACGCCAGGTGGTCGAAATTTCCAGAGCCCTCCACTACAGCGTCTCTCATAATCATATAGTACTTTTGGGACATTAAATCCCACATATCAATCAATCAAAACTCTGCGGGATTTCGGCGATGTTGCATGGTTTGCACATACACTCAAACCTCATTATAACAAAGTCACACCTGCCTCGAAAATACTTCGTTAGATTTGAAAACTCGTTATAAACATATATTTGTAGCACTGTATCTGTGACAAAGCTATTAATTATTCATTTCATTATAACTGATAATTCATTATATCGGGGTTCGTCGAATCGAGGTCTGCATGTTTTTTTTTTCTTCTAAATGTAAGCCTTCTTTTTTTATACTGCTCCAAATTGGCTCTTTTGTGATAAAAAATGAATGTCTTTTTCCCCTAACCTGTTCCAAATATGGATTTTAGTGCTCCAAAAGTAACATTTTGCTGCTCCAAAAATTGCTGCAAATTCTATTTCAGCTGTTGCACCCCTGCATAATTGAAAATATTGGAAGTGTATGTACCAGTAACATGGTGTTCGGCATGTCTTGAAGGCATTTCGTGGTATTGAAAGGGGCCCTAAAGTGAAACAATGACTTGGTCCAGATTGATAAACTGCACCCTGAGAACTCCAATGTCACAAGTTTCGCAATAAGCTCAGTATTAGTGGAGACAATCAGAGTTGAAGTTTTGCTTTCAAATTTTGTATTTATGTATTCTTCATATTTTTCGCGACAGGGGCACGCAAAATTTCGAAGAAATTCTTCGAAACTTCATACATTACATCTACGACACCCACAGATGACAATGCACTTCATTTTAACCGATTACTGGAAACCACGTAGAATGCAGGAGAAGACGCTGTCAAAATCTATGACGTTGTGGTGTTCGGTGCAGGAATTTTCTTTTTCTTTTTGTGTGTTTTCTCATTTAACAAGTGTCGTCTCGCGGTAAAATTGGTGTTTTCGGGACTGTGAATTTGTACTTTACTAATACGTAAAATATCTTTTTTCTCTTTAATGTCCCTTTAAGATAGGGCCAATAAATTCTTTAGTAGCTGTCATTATATGTACTGAACAGAATGTATTTGTCAATACAAGGGCATTTAGTATGGTTATTCATATTACATGTATTTATAAATAATCTTATTGGTAGCACATGGTATTGGTAGCACATGGTAGCACAAGCTAATGGTATTGCCGCAATGCTTCAAAACTTGTCAACCTACATACTCATGAATTTTTTAAGGCTGCTTGTTATTTGGTTTTTTTTTTTCATGTATATCTTTTTTTAGCTTAAATTTTGTTTCTTGTCCATCCCTTTTTCATCTTTTTTCAAGAGTGTTAAGGTGGAGTGAGAGACTTCTTTTGGTAAAAAAAAAAATTAATTTTGGAACTTTTCAGTCGCTTGATAGAAAATTTCTTTCAGAAAATACAGCACACTTGGGCGTATACTGTTTAAAAAATTTTTAGTTCTTTCTTTGACACGTTGACAGGAAATATGTCTGTAGCCTTGCGTAATTTTTACATCTTTCTCAAAGTAATATTTTGGAGTTAGTGTACCTCTTTCTTTGGAACTATCAAGCATATGCAAACGAAAATTTTCACATGGCTTTAATTAGTGGCATTTACACAACTTGAACTGGGATCAGTAGCCTGGGTGCATTTCTATTTTCTAGTATAGAAAAACATTCACACATCACAATTTTCATACATTGACAAACAAAACATAACAAATATAGTTTTTGTTGTATACTTACAATTTTAGTTTTCCTTCTGTAAAGCCTTTTAGCTGCTTTTGTGCAAAATTACAATGCTCTGCAATTAGCAGATCTTAAATGAAAAGTAGAAAAACTGAAAAAAAATGTAACACAATGAAACTAATATTGAGCTTCAATGCACCCTGCATCTATATTTAATGTACCATAAATATTTTATAGCTGTAGGTTTTGGTATTAGCACTGCTGTACAGCCACATTTTTAAACTCGCTTTCGAAGGCTCGCCCCATGTTAAATCAGGTCCCCCCCCTTTACCTTTTGCAGGGAAGCAATTTAATTGTATTGATTCATAAAAAGCGTGGTATATAACTTTTTGTTTAGCTTCATTAGACTTGTATAATGGTTTACTAAGAGACTCCTTTTTTGTTCTGCAGCCAAAAAGATATCGGTCTCGAGGTGTACCAATCTGATCCTGGCACTCTCTTCCTCAAGTTACTGACACCGACTTTCTTTCTTATAATTACCATCATCCAGCTGCACTACTTTCACCAGGAGTTCATTAAGCTCAATGAAGATAACTACCGGTGAGCAAACGCGTATTTTTCTCCTCCTAGCATTTTTTTTTCATGAATAATGATTGTGTACTGTGAATCAAAACTCTTTGTATAGTTTTGGTGCCCTGAGAAAACACTGAAGAACACTTTCCTTTTGTAATTTTTCAGTTCCTCGAAATATTGTTTGCTTTAAAGGCATTAGAACCAAGCCCAAGTTGGAAAACAACAAAGAAAACCAGCAGTCATCCATGAACTGAACGTTATAAGCTGAAATTCTTCACTCCCGAGTTGAGAAGTGTTTGTCTAGAGCCAGGAGAAATTCCTTATTGCCAATCAGTGCCTTTTGTCGACATTTTTAACTGCTTCTCCTGCCACTAACTGAAGGAATAACGCACGTTTTTATTTTTATTCTTAGTTCTTGTGCACTTTGAAGTCTTCAAAATTGGACTACCAGTGTGCTCAGATTGTCACTTTTAAGAACTGATTTATCGCAACTGTGATGCAGTTATCCTTACTCGTGCATATTGTTTAAAGCTACTGTCTTGGCAGTGACCAATGGGATGAGTAAAGTTATCATTGAGTGCTTTCAAAGTTCATCAATGTGAAGGTTTTCTTTATTTCTTCCCCAGCAACCAACCAAGTAGCAATGAAGAAGAGGCAGCCGCCACCAACGGAGGGCCTCATCCACAAGATGCAACTCCACCTCAAAATATGGATGTGACCATTCCAGTTGAGACTGCACCTCCAGAGGTAGCACCTAGCCCACCACGTCGCCACTCAGATGCAGAGACTTCTGATGAGGTAGCCACACCTGCCACTGTTGTGTCACGCACCTCTAAAGCAAGCCAGTTGCAACCACCAGAAGTTGCTGCCTCTCCCAAAAGTGAGTGGGACTTGCAGTCCTCTGTAAGTTGCCCATATGTGTTGAATATTTACTTGCTTTTATGTGTTTGTGCTGCTGTTCATTGCTGCTGAATTATCTGCAGTGTGATTAGGTGCAGCCTAGTTTTCAATGCTTAAGATTCAAATGTATGAATAAAGTTATTTCCAGGTATTTCGTAAACCAGCACTGATTGATATGTGGGGTTTACGGTCCCTAAAACCACCATATCAGGCACTTATACACGCATCTTGGTGATTAATCTCTTTTGCTGTCTCTTGGAGGCTGCAAATCAGTTTATCAGTAACTTTTAGTGAGTGTGTGTAATGTAAAATTGAAGTTCTGGGAAGACATGCAATAAAATACAATAGAATCTCAATGATACGAAGTTGAAGGGAGCTCACAAAATATTCTTATCTCGAATTTGTATGAACCAAAAACAAGTTAAAGCTGGTGATTAAAATGAACAAGAACTTTATTTGACTACTTCTTGCTGGAAAATGTCCATGATGTTCTTTCGAACTTTCCTGCTTTCACAGCCTCTCAATAAGGTTCCGCGGTTTCCTCACTCATGCTTGTAGCGTTATAAGGCGGGTTCACATTTAGCATCAAAGGGAGCAAAAGAGGGAGAACTCAATGAAAATTCACTCCGTCGCCTAAGCAGCTGAAAAAATGCGCCACACAGTCAATACGAAAAAAATCGGTCCAAGAGAATTCGCACTCGAGAATTCAAGCAAAAATACTAGTGCGACCACAAAACCACGTCCATGCCCGTCGAAAATCTTTGCTGCTTGAGAATTTATTTCTGAGCCTCAAAATCCCCATCGAGTTCCAGTTATGCATGCAAAGCTCTAAAAAGAAACAGTTTACACTTTTACAAACGTTGTTTCGAGAAATATGTCATAAGAAACAACACGAGCAGACGCACTGTCACTGCTGGCAACAGATTCAACTGGCAGTGCAAAAGAGACACGTGGATTATGCTGACTTGCTTCTGCTGCACTTTCTTCTGCTTCCAGTGTTTGCAGCTATCTTAATTGAAACCAGGCTCTCAATGAATGTGTCTTTTTCAAGGCTGTGAGCTTTCTCAAGCTACGTGGGTAGTTCGCGATTGAGCCAATGCGAGCCACCGCACCCGCCAACGCTAGAATGTACTGGAACTGTTGAGTGGCGTGCCTGTGCCTCGCCGCATGATGCCTTCTGCATTGCCTGCAGCGGCAGCACTGGAGTCGATTAGTACTGAAAGTGCAGCGCTCTATGTGCCAGAACTGCTATGCGCTTCGGCTCCAACGACGAACCTTTTTAAATGTGAATGCATTTCTTAGTCGGGCTATGTCAGGTCCCTGTCTGGATCCGTCCACCACTTTCTCTCATAGCAACAGCTGTGGGCGCTCGCGTCCCTAGGTACTGGAGCCCCCACCATGTCACGCTTCGGCGTCGGAAGCTGTCAGCAACAGTTGCGGGCGCGCGTGCTTATCCTCGCCCCTAGCAACTGGAGCATGTGGTGCGAGAGAGTGCAGAAAAGGATAGGTGCAGTGCTTTGCTGCTTTTTCTGTTGCCGTTTCCTCTATCTCCTCTCTACGCCTCACTTTCCCGTCCGCTCGCACTTCACTTTCGACCGTTCGCTGGCTGGGCGCCTCTCAAGAATATCCGGAAATGTGTGCTCGAGATGCCGCTGTGACAGTGCTAACGCCGAGCCGAGAACACTGTTTGTTTTGCTCAATTCATAATATTTTTTAACCGTGCATGCTATCTGCTAAAGCTGGAAACGCATACCGCATTTCTCGCAACAGAAAAACGCCCCATGCGGTAAAAGGCGCTATTGGCTGCACAATGAAAGAAAAAAAGAAAAGAAAGCATTATTCCTCTAATGCCGAGTTCTCGCGTGCAAAACGCTGTCATCAACGCTACGCGATACATTCGCATGTCCTCACTATTCTCTTCAAAGAGATGGGGGCTTTCCTTTTTTTTTTATGTAGCTTTCTTCGTGCCTGCCCATCATTCATGTCTAGCACATGCTGTCATAACCCTTGAGGCAGGACATGCCAAAGTTCTGAATTTCAGCTCAATAAGCCTTTGTAGATTGAAAATTGTCTATTTTCTTGAGATTAAACCGGGAAAATGGCTACTATAGGTATGAAAACTATGAAAAAAAAAAAAAACCTGATCAGCCCAGTGAGGATAAAGTCTCAGCATTATTACAAATGTTACCTGAAGCTAGATGTGCTTCAAAGTACTTTTGTACTGGGAACATCAGTAAAAACCTATGACCATCAGATCTATACAGATGGTAACGCGTTGTTTTAAGAGATGGCTTCAGAGATTCTAACAATCATAATTATTGGGAGCTGTGATACCCTGTCAAAAGTGCACTGAACCAGGAGGCTGTAAGTACTGGGAGGAAAGGGAGGGAATCTAAGCTCCCTTCACCCGGACAGTTTGTCAGGAACTGCTTGTCAGGAACTGTTATTCACACCACCCCCCTCCCTTCTCCCCCCCCCCCCCCCCAAAAAAATCCTTAGCACCGAGCATTTACCATTGGCGGAGCTGAGTATAGCATGTCTCCTTACAAATGCGCAATGTAACATTGACTTTTCCAACAGTATAAGCTCTAAAAAAATTTTTCAAGTCTGGCGTAGTCGGAAGACACATGCACGGCGTACATGACCGCGTATAAATAGCGGCCGTGCTTAAGTGGCATTTCACGGATATTGTTAAGGGGCAATGGGAATTGTAAATTTGATCAAATTGTTTAGTTTTTCAATTCATTTTTTTCTGGAATCCTGAGACCATGTTTTACAACATAGTGTGATTTCAGATCAAAATAAGTAGTACAAGTTAAGAAACAATCATTTTACTGGTGGGCTGTCATCAAAAGCTATGTGAAAATTGAGCATAGCAAAACGCAAATTTGCAGCATTCCCTTGGCAAAGTGCCATCGTATTGGCATGGTCATAAAGAGGACAGATTGGAGCTCAACATAGCCACAAAAATGCATTTCTTCAATTAAATATAAAGCGAGCTTCCTTCAGAGTTCCGTTTTATCAGCTTCTAGCTCCAATTTCTTCGAGCGCCATTTTCTCAGGTTTCATTTATGAGCAGTTGCTGTCAGTCATCCCTGTGCCATTTCACAACAAATGATGCTATAGCTATTCCGTTTCCTGCACTTGGATTGTGAGACATTGGTGAGCACCGTAAAGGTGTCCATATTTGTGTGCACATCATATAGACTTTTGTAATTGGCTTTTTGTAAGAGTTGTTAAGACAATATGTCCAGGGCATTTCAGAAAAAAATGTGTGCATACTTAAATAAACCAATAGTATTACAGCACAAAATAGACCCTTGTAAATATCCTTATGCAAAAATTTTGACGAACTTGTGTCTAATTAGCTAATTAATTTTAGGGTGACAAGTCTATCAAGTGTTGCAACTCAAAAGTTATATTAGATAGCTCAAAACCGATTTCAGTTATGATATCAGCATAACAAATTACATCTGCATGCCAAATTTTATCCCTTTAGCTTCATAAATAACAAAGATAATTTTCATTGCCTCGTGCCCCCTTAATGGGCTGGGCACGGACGTGCAACTTCACTGCATGTACTTGTGCATATTTTATATATGTGTAATACATCTCTCTCTCTCTCTCTCTCTCTCTCTCTCTCTCTCTCTCTCTCTCTCTCTCTGTGTGTGTGTGTGTGTGTGTGTGTGTGTGTGTGTGTGTGTGTGTGTGTGTGTGTGTGTGTGTGTGTGTGTGCTTGTGCGTGTGTGTGTGTGTGTGTGTGTGTGAGAGAGAGAGAGAGAGAGAGAGAGAGAGAGAGAGATACACCTGCCTGAGTTCTGACACTTCGTAAAAAGCTACATTTATAAAATCAAACACTTCATTAACAAGCATTTGCTGGCTTGCAATGTCATTGTGCCAATAGAAGGTTTGGAAACCAGCACAGTATAAGCTGTTGATATCAAGTAAGTGAGAAGTGGTTATAGTGAATTTAGGCAGAATAACATACGGGCTGTATACACAACAGCGCTTTATAATATGCTGAAAATAACCCCTTTCGCGTAGAGTTTGCGACTCGGAGGTACAGTACGGTCCACTGTTAGGGGGAACACGCGAGCGCAGCTGGCAGTCCGCAGGGCGCTAAATGCTGGCGAGATTTGGAAACGCAGAGCATGCGCACAGACTCGTAAGGGCGGTTCGTGCCCTGAGTCATCTTTACTGCCCCACCCTACTGCTCGCGGCGGCTGCATTTCCGATGGAGGCGGAAATGTTGTAGGCCCGTGTACTCAGATTTGGGTGCACGTTAAAGAACCGCAGGAGGTCGAAATTTCCGGAGCCCTCCACTACGGCGTCTCTCATAATCATCAGTGGTTTTGGGACGTTAAACCCCACATATCAATCAACCACCCTACTGCTCGGCACGAGCTAACGTCATGCTATGTTTCAGTAGTTGGAAGGAGAAGCCGGCTATGGTCGTTGCATCACGCACCAATTTTCTTGCCTGTTATCAAAGGCAGCCGGCTGGTTCAAGCGTTGTGCAAAGCTTATGACTAAGATTTCTGAGCATCGACACAGTAGGTTACGGAACTGATGGGCTTCGTTATTGCCTTCACAGAATTCCACAGCTGAGGCGTAATTCTTCGCTGAACGAACTTTCGGTGGTGCCGGCTCTTATATGTGGCATGGCCAGGTGAGAAGCCTTTTACCTGAGGATGAAAGGCTTCTCATAGTCGAGCTCTACAGTAAGGAAAATGAACCCTTTTCGAAAAAGAGTGCCCCTAGCGCCGCGAACGCGAACTACAGTCAGCCGCCTTTGTGAGGGCACCGCAGCAGACAACGCAGGCTGCGTGTCCCAGCGACGATGACGCGCGTTTTTTGCAGCGCACACAGACACCTCTTGCGTTCCTGCAGGACGCGAACCGCGTCGAGAGGGCATGCCGATGAGTCTCTTGCAGGCCGGATCCATGCATTGCCAGTCATAACAAGCCAAACTGCTCATGC